TTTGCAAGAGTTCTACGGATTCCCACGGTCAACGTACCAGCAACGTTTTGAACGGATTCTGGATAACGAGGGTGCAACAGTTACGTTGAATCGTGGTGTTGAAGTCCCAAGAATTGCGCTCTGGCAAGATTCAGGTTGATCCTTGGCGTTGGGATCCCGAGAACTGTGTTTTGGCATGCTTCAAAATATTTCGTCTTGCAACGAAACAGTTCGCTCAGTGGAAATGAACCGTTGCAGGGGCCTATGCAGAGGGAGCTTGGAGGGAAGGTGTCTTACAACATCGTTGAGTGAGTTTCAAGGAGTCTCAGCTACAGCCTCGAGGCTGAGCCTCAGCCTCTGGGGGGGTTGCCGGGGTGGCTCTTCCGGGAAAGGGGGGGAGGGGGGGGGGGGTGCGAGTTTCCGGCGGATGCGTTTTCTGACACCCCTCACACGGATCGTGGCCTCCGAGGGGGTCCCGAACTCGAGTACCACCCCTCCCGCACCAAGAGGCTCCGAGGAGGCCTCCAAGAGGCCCCAAGGGGCGAAGAAGAGGCCCCCAAGAAACCCCAAGAGGCTCCCAAGAGACCCCCAAGAGGCCCTGTAGTGGCCCCAAGAGGCCCAAGAGGACCCCAAGAAGCCCCAAGAGGCGCCCAAGATGCCCCCAGAAGTCCCAGCCAACCACGAGATCCCAACCAGCATCCATGAGGCCTCTGACCCACCACCCACGCACGGTGGCGGGATAGGCCGACGGCCACTGGATCCGCTGCCCCCTGCTTGCAGGGGTGCACGGCGTGCTGGATGATTCAGTTTTGGTTTTGGTTCTTTTTCTAAAAGAACTCCCCAGTGGGCTTCGGCCCGTCCCGCCGGCCACCCGTAAATTTCCCAAAATGCGTCTGTCAATGCCTTTGTTGCCCCAACTTGGCCCAAGATGGCCTCCAAGACGGCCAAGATGGCCCAAGATGGCCTCCAAGATGCCTCCAAGACGGCCACGATGGCCTCCAAGACGGGTAAGATGGCTCCAAGATGCCTCCAAGACGGCCCAAGATGCCCTCCAAGACGGCCAAGATGGCCCCAAGATGCCTCCAAGATGGCCCAAGAGGCCTCCAAGACGTTCTCCAGGAGAGCCCGAAGAGGCCAAAATCATTGGTTTTCCTTAGGTTTTTGAAGGTTTTTTGCGTTTTCTTCTTTTCGGCCTTCCGACGGCCCAAGAGGCCCCCAAGATCGCCCAAGAGGCCTCCAAGAAGGCCCTATGACGGCCCAAGGGCCCCCCAAGACGGCCCCAAGAGCGCCCCAAGACGGCCCAAGAGGCCTCCAAGACGCCCAACATGGCCTCCAAGACGGCCCTGAAGCGCCCCAAGAGGGCCCCAAGACGGCCCAGAGAGGCCCCCAAGACGGCTCCAGACGGCGTCAGACGGACCAGGAACGCCCTAAGACGGCCAAAGAGACCCCCAGGAAGCCCCCAAAGGCCCCCAAGAGGCCCAAGGAGGCCCCCAAGATGCCTCCAAGAGGCCTCGAAGAGGCCCCCAAGAAGCCCCCAACAGACCCCAAGGGTGCCCCAAAAGACTCCTAACAACCCTCATCCTCCTACTCTATTTCTTCCTCTTCCTCTTCCTGTTCATAATCATTCTCTCCCATGTGTTCCCCGAAAGCTTTCCAAACCGACTCGGGGAACTCATGGTCCGATAGCTTGGCCAAGCTCTAATCCAACTTTCGGCCACATCGGCGTTTCCAAAAAGGCAGGGGGCGGCGGTGATTCGCCGTAGGCGTCTTTGATAAATGCTGAATGAGAGGAGGGGAGGGGAAAAGAGAAGAGGGACGAGGGCGAAGAAGGATCACATCAGTCGGAGCGCCCCAGATCGGCGGCACTGGCCGAAGGCCACTACAATATTTCGTCTTGCAACGAAACAGTTCGCTCAGTGGAAATGAACCGTTGCAGGGGCCTATGCAGAGGGAGCTTGGAGGGAAGGTGTCTTACAACATCGTTGATGGCTCTTGGGTGTCCACTGGTCCTCCTCCTCCACCTCCTCCTCCTCCTCATGGCACCTGTGCCACTGGGTGCCCGTGCCAGGAAGACCGGCGGTTTGCAACCATGTCGTCGCCCCTGTTTGCCCGTGGAGGTCAGGGGGAGAGAACATTGCGCGTCGTGCCTGCTTATACGAGCGCGTTCCACTACTCGCAAAGTGGCTACTCGCAAATGGCCTGGGTCCCCCGCGGAACATCAACGATACATTACATCGACACAAGCAGCTGTTTTTTTTTTTAAACGTTTGCGAGTAGGCACTTTGCGAATAGTGGAACGCGCTCGGTGACACAAGGGGAGGGGGGAAGGCTCCTTGGAAGGAGACCGCTTCTCAGCAGGTGCCAGCCCTGCATCTACATACGGTCAGGTCGGGCATGTCCCCCTACGGGCTGATTTGCAACCGTGTCATCACCCCTGTTTGCCCGTGGGGGTCCGGTGGAGAAGACAATTGTTGGACGCCCGAAATGGGTACGGAAAAGATGGGTACACTGCCCAACAACAAATGTCGTCCCAAAGCAACAGCGGCCGCTGTTGGGCAGGCGGCCTCCTGTCTCGAATGGACACAGGCCGCGGCGGCGCGGACAACGAGCCCTGTCCAAGATGAACAGGAACTGCTGTTGGGCATCGTGCAAATTCTTTCCGTACCCATGTCGGCGCGCCCCTCACGCAGATTCTTGGCCTCGGAATGCCAGTAATGGCGTTCTGTATGGGAGGAGATGCTGGCATCGGAATGCCAGACATGGCGTCGTTACTGTCCTTTGCGAAAGGTACAGGCGCGACCTCGACCCTTTCGGGTTGAGCGCCGCCCCCGTGCCCTTCCCCAGGACACTGAGCCTCGTGCCTGCTGCTGGATTCACACCCGTCCCTCCCGCGGCCAGGGCCTCCCCGCCCCGGCGTGCATCTCTGGGGGGGGGGCGGTGCCGGCCGCCCGCGGGAACGGGCGCGCCCCGCGGGTGGCTGCGGCAGGGCCAGGCACGCCGCGGGGCGCGTGGCACTGGCCATCGCTCGGACGTCCATTCCCTGTGTTTGTTTCCGGTCTCGTGCGCGGTTCTTTCGCCAAATGATCAAGGATGCTCCTCGATGGTCCTCGCCGAGGAAAAAAAACGCACACGTCCGAGCGATGCCAAGCGCAGGCCGGGGGCAGGGCGCCCGCCGCGAGTGCGAGAGCGCGCGGCAGGCCGAGGTGAGACGAGCGCGTTCTCCACGACTCGCAAAGCAACAACTCGCAGAGCAACTGCGAGAACGCGCGGCACGCCGAGGTGAGGCGAGCGCGTTCTCCACGAATCGCAGAGCAGCTGCTCGCAAAAACGGCCCGGATCCGCAGCGGGGGTCTAGGATGCGTTCACCTCGAAGTGGCGTGTGCTCTTCGGGCGCTTGCGAGCAGGCACCCTGCGAGAAGTGGGGCACGCTCGGTGAAAGGTGCATGCTGCGCGCGGCGCGCCAAGGTGCGTGCCGATTGTTTTGTTCCGCCCGTGGCGGATTGGCGGATTGGCCTGGAAGGGGTGAACTTCTGAATGATGGGGGGGCTCCTTGAACGGTGTCACTGTTTGTTCATGTTCAACCAGCTTCTGAGGCTGGCCCCACAGGTGGGATTCGTGGCCTCGGTGTTCATCGAGTTCAGGCGATGTCGTGTTTTAGTCGCTCTTGTGATCGCGGAAATCCTGGTAATCCTCCTCGTCCACGTCCACCTCCCCCTCATCATAATCACAGCCGTTTCGGCTCGGGCTGATTGTGCGAACAGCTCGAGCTTGTGCCCACGTACTTCGAAGCGGCTCGTGGGCTCGAGCCAAACGTTCAGCGCGCGCGCCATGTCCATGGGCGCAGATGGAGAGGTCCTGCCAGGCCCCAAGTATCCGGTCTGGGGATGTGGCAAGTGCGGCGAGAGCGGCAACTGGGCCAGCAGGCTCAAGTGCCGCAGTTGTGGAGGGGCTGCGCCAGTGCGGGTCCAGCAGGACGCCCGTGCTGCAGCAGCCAAGACGGTGCGCCCTCAGCAGGGGCGCAGCGGCTCCAGCGGCGGCGACCAGTCGCGGCTGGCCAAGGAGGTCAAGGAGCTCAAGCAGCAGCTGGCGGCGCTCTCGAAAAGGGGCGGAGCCAGCGGCGGCGGGGGCGGGGCAGGAGGAGGCACGCGGCCCTCGCCCGCTGCTGGCGGCGACGGCCCCTCTTACGCCCAGGTCGTCGGCTTTCTCAAGAGCCACGGCATCGACTCGGCGCTCATCGCCAAGGCCGAGGAGGCCAAGGTCCAGGAGCTCGAGTCCAAGCCGCCGTCCGCGCTGGCTGCTAGACATCGGGTCGAGAATGCGACGCGGAAGGTCGAGGAGCTTGAGGAGCGGCTCCAGCAGTGCGAGATCCAGAAGCAGGAGATCCTCAAGGGGGTCGCCGAGGCCACCGAGTCCCTGGCAGAGGCGAGGAAGGACCTGGAGCACCACGCGAAGATGCTCCAAGGTCAACTTCAGAGATGCGGACGACCCCGTGGGTGTCGGCATGGCTGACCTGGACCCCACGGCGGTTGACGACGCTGAAGGGAAGCAGGCGCTCGAGACCCTCAAGCGGCTGCAGCGCGCGGCCAAGGAGGCGGCTGGGCGCGAGGCTGCTGAGGGCGGCAGGGGCCCTGGCGGCGGCGCCGCTGCTGGCGCTGCTGGTGCTGACGCAGGAGGCGCTGAAGGCAGCGGCCAGGCACGGGCTCCACGGCCACCGACAGCAGCCGACTTCGAGGGCTCGGAGTTCCACGCTGGGCTCAAGCGGGCCATGGGAGGAGAGAACCCTGAAGCCGCCGTCGCGGAGTTCCTGGCTGCCCACACAGCCAAGCGTCAGCGCGTTTGACGAGGAGTGGCCTGTGCTGGGCAGCCTGCCCAATCGTCCTCCAGCGAATCGTCGACGTCGTGGAGGACTGCAGCCATGGCCTGTGAGAATCAGCCACCCCTCGGCCGAACCCCTGCGCCAGCCTACGTCGGGTCTTGCGCCGCGAGGGGGTGAGGCCAACGAAGAAAGTGATGGCACGCGCGCGAGCTCATCTGGTGCGACGACGGGGGGTTCGGCTACTCCTTCTCGGCCGACAGACTCACCTGACCCCTGTGCGGCTGGGGTCCCCGACCCCAGGGCAGCCCGCGCAGGGTGTCGGGCAGAGGGCGCCGCATGTTCCTCAACTGGGGCGGCTCCTGGTTCGTCGGGCTCGGCGATCGGAGTCGGGCCTGCTGACGACAGCTCGAGGCAGGACGGCAACTTTCTGGTTTCCCGGGCTGAATGCGAACGCGTGGAGCAGCTTTGAGGGCCCCCACGACTGGTACGCCGACAGCGGCCACAGTTTGGTAAAGCAGCTCGTGGGCGGCGAGGTTCCCCCGCCCCAGGTTTTCGCGACCCAGGAGACCAGGCTCAAGGTGCAGACGGCCGAGGAGCGGGCCTACGGCTGGGGCAGCAGCCATCGTCTTGCAGTCCAGCTAAGCCGCGCTGCTGCGACGGGATCTGGGCCGACTGAGAGCTGAGGCGGAGCCGCACTCGCTGTGCAGCCTCACGTTCCCTCGTGTCCAGTGGCCCTGGAGGAGCCCCATTCAGCAAATCAGCCACCGCGTGGTCGTCCGCAAGATCAACACTGGTTTCCCTGGGGGGCCTTTTGGTTGCGTCGATCTACCTGGACGTGAAGGAGGGCCCGAAGGGGCCTGCGAACTGGAAGCTCCTCCAGGGTCTGACGGTGCTTCCCTTGGGCCAGGGCTCTCCGTGGGTGACCCAGGGCGACTGGAACTGCACGCCAGCTGAGCTGTCCAAGCGGGGGTGGCTCAACGCGGTCGTAGGTGCTATCTTCCAGCCGAGCGCGCCCACGCGCGTCACTAGGCACAAGGAGGTGGAGGAGGACGGGACAGAGAAGTGGGTCACGGTCGAGAGTGAGATCGACTTCTTCGTAGGGGCTAAAGCCCTCAATCATTGCACCCACAGCGGCCCTCGAGTCGGCCCCGTCGTCGCCGCGCGCGCCAGCGTCTTCGAAGATCTCCTGGGGACGGCCTCGTTCAGGAAGCCGAAGATGTTCAAGAAGTTCCCAGCGGCCCCTTGTATCGGCCAGCACTTGGCCCCGAGGCTGGCCGACTGGAGGTTCGGGCCCGACGAGGTCCCCGCTGATGTCCCTGGAGCCGTTCGGGAATGGTTTAACAATTCTGAGGCCTGGCTGGGGGTCTCCCACGACGTTCCTGATGAGCAGCGTGGTTCGTACATGGGCCGCGGAGTGGGTCCTCGGGTGTCGGTGGCGCCCCTGCAAACCCTCTGGGGTCGAGAGGCTCGTCGGAGGTTCAGCCCGCTAGCCATGTGCTGGATGGCCTTTCAGAGCATGGCCCTCAGGGGCTCGAAACTGGCAGCTGGTTCTCTTGGACGTCGGGGCTGGGGAGCGGCCTCGCGCTGGGCTAGCGCACTTCTGGACATGATAGGTGCCATGTATGCCGAGGACCCCCCCCCCCCCCCCCCAGCCCCGCAGAAGCAGCAGGAGGGCGTGGAGCGCATGCGCGAGCAGCAGTTGCGTGCCTTGATCGGTCAGATCGGCGAGGGCGTGTCGCAGCCAGACGACGAGCTGCGGACGGAGCTGGCCTGCTTCGTCTCTCTTTTTTTGCAGCGCGTGGATGCGCGCGAGCGTGGACGCAAGTGGAGGACCTGGGCTAAGAAAGCGGCGTCGAAAGGGGGGAAGGCTGCGCACGCCTATGCCAAGAAGAGACACACTTCCCCATCCAGCGTCCTGGATCCCTCGGGCCCCCCTGTGAACGGAAATGCTGAGTGGCTGCCGATGTGGGCGCCGCCTGGGCGCGAAGCGATGGACCCTGCTTCGTGGGACATAGGCGACAGCCAGCTTCCCCCGATATCGTTGGAGGCGTTTCAGGACTGCTGTAGGTCTCACTCTGGAGGTGCAGGGCTCGGCTGGGACCAGTTCCACCCGAAGCTGATTCTGCAGCTGCCCCTAGTGTACCAGGTCAGGGTCCTGAGGATTATCGAGGCCTTCGAGGATCGCCCGTCTTGGATGATTGAGCCGGTTACCAATATTTGTAAATTCCGAGACCTGATGGAGGGGCTCGGCCCATCGGGCTTCCGTGCCTGTTTATGAAACTCCGGAGCAAGCTCAGACAACCCTTGTGTAGGGAGTGGGAGAGGGCTCACAACATGGAGTGTCTCTGGGGACGCGGGCCCACGACGACGCGCGCGAGGGCTGGGTGGACCCGCAACTTGCTAGGCGCGTTTTGCAGAGGGATCGGCACGGACAGCGCGACTGTATTGCTTGATCCCAAGAAGTTCTATGAGCATGTGCGACATGCCGATCTTTTTTGTGGCCGCCAGGCAGATCGAATTCAACTTGGAGCTTCTCAGGGGCCTGGTGACAATGTACTCTGGGTTCAGGACATTGGTGTATGATGGGGCGGTCTCGGAGTTCCTGCAGGCTACGGGGGCTATCGTAGCGGGGTGTTCGGCAGCCACGACGTTAGCGAAGCTCCTTCTGGTCGGCCCCCTCTCCTCGGTGGCCCACGGCAGGCCTCAAGTGCAGGTGCGCAACGTAGTCGACGACGTGACTTTGCATTGCCGCGGCCCCCGCCAGCTGGTGTCGGACCAGCTGCCCGCGGCGGTGGAGCACACCCTTTGCTTTTTTTTGCCCGGCGAGCTCGAGCTCCCAGTGCACTTGTCGAAGTGGACATACTTGGCCAGCGGCTCGGAACTGGCGAGCGCCCTTGAGAGACGGTGGTCCCTCCCAGCCTCAGGTAGTCGACACAGCACGAAACTCGGCACGGATGCGAACCTCGGGGCGCTGCGTAGAGTAGGCATCACCAGGGGGCGCTGGAAGAATGTCACACGGTCTTCGAGGCGCCTGGGCAACCTGCGCGAAGCGGGTGCGGACATCAAGTGGATCCAGCGAGGGGGCCCGACGGCTTCCGCTCTGCGGGGGGCATGCGTGGCGGGGGTCCCGCCCGCGGAGTTGCACCAGCTGGGGGTTGCAGCCTGTAAGGGTCTCGGCAGATACCCTCGGGGCGGCTCGATTGGGCTCAGGATGCATGCGTATCGGGACGGTCGTCGAGTTGTTGATCCATGGGTTATCGCTCTGGGCCAGGTTGTAGCCCAATGGGGCACGGCGTGCTGGGAAGGTAGCCCCAAGCCCCAGATCATTAACAAGACCCTGGAGTTGGCCCGTGCCAGGCGCTCGGAGCCCAGACGGCCTCGGGTAGCAGCAGCGTCGCCAGCAGACGTCTATCTCTTGATGGTTGGGGCCATCGGCTGGGGCGTCCCCTCGGCCACGATGTTGACGACTGACGGGGGCTCCGCGTTGAACCTAGTCAGGCTGAGCCAAGCGGCGGTGCGCAGACTGGTCGAGGAAGGAGTGGGGCGCGAGTCTGACTGGCTCTCGCTCCAGACTTGTTCTTGCCCCTGGACGCTTCCGATTTTTTGGTGTAGCCTGGAACCCCTGCTCCACAGGACTTCGCGGAGCTGGACCTCGCGCCAGCAGCGGGCCTTGAGGGCCCTGGTCCCGGGGGCGTAGTGGTCCCAGGCCCGCTCGCACAAATAGGGGTTCGCAGCGTAGGGGCGTGCACAGCGTGTGGGCGCCCAGACGGCTCGCTGCGGCACAGGCGTTTCGAGCGCGATGCCCACGCCGCTCTGCGGCGGGAACATGTTTCCCCCAGCTTGCAGAGGCGGGCCCAGAGGGTGAAGGCTTGGAGCTTTGAAGCGGGTGAACTCTTTGTTAAGGGCGTTTTCCCTGATCCCCGCCCTGTGTTCGAGGTTCCCGAGTATAGGCCTGACCAGCAAACGATCCACTGGTTTCAGCGGCCCGCGTCGGGTTACATGTCCGGCCTTCTGTTCCTGGACGGGTCCGCGCTTTTTCTGGGTGCCAAGACACTTTCCAGGGCTGGCTGGTCAGTCGTCAGTTGCGACAGGTTTGGCCAGGTTCTGGCGGCGGCTTATGGGCCTGTGCCGCAGGACCAGGCCCCTTTCCAGTCGTCGAGGGAAGCGGAAGACTTTGCGGTGCGAATGTTGGCCCAAGTTGCGATGCCGCCCGTCGGTCTCTACATAGATTGTAAAGGCACGGTGTCGACGCTGTGGGCGGGCCCTGGCGCGGGTTCGGGAGCCGAGAATCCCCGAGCCCACATGTGGGCTCCTTTCTAGGCGGCGTTTGAGCCGAATGATTTCACGGCCCACAAGACGAAGGCCCAATGCAGCATGGTAGATGTGCAGAATGATCGCACCACTCTTTGGGAGAAGCGTGGCAACGATGCCGCCGATGAATTCGCGAAGCGTGGTGCCGCCCTCCACGGAGTGGAGGAGAGTGAGTACCACCTCTGGCGTGGCCTGGTCAAGGCTGCTCGGGAGGTGGGTCGGTGGAGTGGGCGGTTGCACGCGTTGGTGGGGGACGGAGAAGCCTGCCAGGACCATGATGACTTTATGGAGTTGTATGCGGCAGGCCGAGGACGGGTGCAGGCGTCGCCCGAGGCGCTGCCCGACGCAGCTCCTGCCCCTGCCCTCGCGGCTGCGCCTGTGAGTGTCCCCACGGTGCAGTCGCCAGCTGAGGGTTTCGAGGCCTATCGTGACATGGGTTACTCGTTCAACGGCCACCCGATGCTGCATGCTTCTGTTAATGTGCGGTCGGGTCATGAAGATGGCAAGGCCATCAGTTTCTGTTGTGCTTGCGGGACCTTTTTCAGCGCAGAGCGGCCAACGCGAGCTCTTCTTAGGCCGTGCCTCCGAGAGTGTGCGGCTGCGGGCTTGAGGCGGCAACTAGCGCAGATTAAGGCTGGCCAGTACCCGTCGGGCAAGGAAGGTCTGAAGGACCTGACCTGGAACCCCCCTGAGGGCGTGCCGCACGCGGTTCGTGTGCGGCTCGCCGCAATTTTTGGCTCTGCTGACTCTGCCCCGAGCGCCTCGGCTCAGGACGTGGGGGGAGGTGGGCTTCGGGGGGTGAGTGCCTCGGGGGGGGATGGCGTGCCGAGCTGAGGTGCTGAGGGCCTTCGGCCTCCTGGAGGGGGACCTTCCAGCCATCCGAGCTGATTGGTGCCGCCTCGTGCGGAAGGAGGCCGAGGAGGGGCCCGAAGAGCCCCTGGAGGGGGATTTTGAGGAGGCTTCCCAAGGGTCGGAGGCCTCCGACTCCGAGCGATAGCTCAACTTGACTGGCTTCAGGCCGCTTGCTCATCTCATCTCAGCACCTCATCACCATCACCACCACCACCACCACCACTACCATCAATACCATGATTAGTATGAGCATCATCACCACCATCATCATCATCATCATCATCATCATCATCATCGTCATCATCATCATCATCATCATCATCATCATCAGCAGCAGCAGCATCAGCAGCAGCAGCATCATGACCACCACCATAAATCACCGCCACCACCACAATTACCACCACCATAGCATCATCAACAACATCATCAACACCACCAGCATCATCATCATCATCATCATCATCATCATCATCATCATTAGAATCATCAATGTCGCCATCATCGCCATACTCAGCAGCAGTATGATCAACATCATCGATATTGTCATCATAAGTATCATCATCAACATCAGCATCATTGACAGCGTCATCATCAGCCCCATCATCGTCAACAACATCAACATCATAATCATCATCAGCATCCGTGTCGTCATCATCATCATCAACATCATCATCAACATCATCGTCATCATCATCAGCATCATCATCATCAATAGCATGATCAACATCGTCGTCCCTCCTTTTTCTCAATCATTATCCTGCTATTCCTTCTTCTCCTCCTCCCCCTCCGTATTCTCCTCCTCCTCCTCATCCTCCTCCTCCCTCCTCTCCCTCCAATGCCCTTCCGTGCCACTGTCGTTGAACCACACCGCCCCTCCCTTACTCCAGTTTCCCGCCCCAGCATGAGAAAGATGCCTGGACCAATCTCAACATCATGCTGCCTCCCGTCTTCAGCATAAAAACGCAGACGACGAGCTCGGTAATGTTGCCTGGCTCTCGGGTTGCAGACCACCGTGGGGTGGGGGGGGAGAGGAAACACGCAGGGTCGACGACGGTGGAGGCGAGGATCTTTCCACCTCCGTCCTCTGATTCCTCCTCCATCCCACCCCCTTCCCTCACATACCATCTCCTCATACAACCCTGGTCCCTGTCCTGCCGTCCTCTTTCATCACTGTTCCTTCTCCTCATCCCTTCTTGTGTTTCCTCGTCCACCCCGCTACTGCCACAACTATATCGTCTCTCCCTCTGCATATGTGCAGTTTCAAGCGAGTGATGGGGAAACGAAGAGTGGAAAGAAACAGAGGCGGGAGATTGAACGCGCCACAAGGACGCATCACAACTGCAACCCTTGCATTTTCAGACGCTGGCTTAATAATAATAAACGAAAATGCGTGTACTGGTAAGCTCTACGGCAAAGTGAAGGACTTCCTCGTAGATCCCCCCAACCGCGTATTGTCTTCACCCACAAGATGTCAAGCAAGTTTTGTGTTGCCCATGTTGCGATTGAATCCGATCATCTCCCGTACTCCACGAGTGTTCTCCTGCTACAGCTTGCGCGACATGTCCGGATCTGTACATTGTCGCCGTCACTCGGAATGGTGTTTTTGCCGAAGCCCAGGACACGTTTCTGGATACGAGTTCTTCCACTTCGTTGTCGTCAACCTCGTTTGCCCTCCGTCTTGTCCTGCTCCTCCTGCTTGTCATCCTGCTTTCCTGCTCCTGCTCCTCCTCCGCGTACTACGGCTATCATCATTCAAAATGAAACAGCTGCTCAACGGGACATAGCGTTTGCCAGCGGGGAGTTGTTGCGCTGTGGATGTGCAGAGTACGTGGTGCAAGGAAGGCAGTGCAAGCTGTGTGGCGTAATCAATGAAAGTGGCGAAAACTACGCGGTGCTAGCCTTTGTGGGCCCCGGAAACGGCAGGACCGTTTTTTCACCGTTTCCGAACAAATGTCCCTTAAAAACTAGAAACGGCAACAAAAACGGCGACCGGAAACGGCAAAAAAACGGCTCCAGGATTGGAACCGGAGCCAGAACCGGTCAAAAAACGGCGACGGAACCTGTAAAAAAAAACGGCGTCGGAACCGGCAACAAAAACGGCAAAACGGAACGGGTAAAAAAACTGCCCTGTCGTTTCCAGGGCCCACTGGGCCCACTAAGGTGCTAGCTATGTGGTGCAAGCTGTGTGTTGCAAGCAGTGTGGGGTAGACTCTGTGGTGTAAGCCATGCGGAGCAAGCTGCGCGGATGGTGCGCGGTGCGCGGTGCAGGCTGCGCTTTGCAGTCTACGCGGAGACCGCGGGGCGACCGCGGGCGGGCGCCGGGCGGAACCTCGGCCGACCCACCCAGCGCGCGAGGAAGACGCCCCAGATGAATTCTACAGTCGAGGCGTTGACCTAAGGAACCCTAAATAAGGAACGAGGCCCCTATTTTCCATAATTTGAACTTCGATTTTGTATCGAAAGCCTAAGGAAAATCCAAGGCAAACTGCAAAACAATTAAGGGACTCGGAGCCCCTCCCCAACCAAAAGGGCTCCTTCTTCAGGGCCCCGACTGTAACCACAGTCAACCCGGATGCTGAAGACGCGCGCTAAGGATGCGAGGGCCTAAGGATGGCCATGCCGGCACTCTGCGAGCGAGGCGCGGCCAGCGGCTGGGCCGGAGGGGGAGGGGGTGCAAAGGGCACCCGTGGAGAAGTCGCGCGTCCTCACTGCGCGGGTCGACCGGTAGGGCTGGAGGCGGGCTCCAGCACGCCAGGAGAGGCCCCAGGAGCATCCAACATGGCCTCGAGGCGGCCCCGAAGAGGCCCTTTCAGCGTGCCTGGAGACGGCCCACAAGACCCCGAGGCGGCCCAAGGGGCCCCCAGGACGCCCAAGAGCACGCCCTGAAGAGAAGGCCCCAACAAGGTGGAGCTCGCAGGGACCCTGGCAGCCCTCCCAAGCTGAGTGGCCCCCTGGACTCACAAGAGGCCCCCAGGAGGCCTCCAGGGAAGGCCCACAAAAGCCCCCAGGAGCCTTGCAAGGGTTCCAAGAGGCCGCCCCCCTAGGATTCAAAGAGGCCCCCAAGAAGCCCCGCAACCGACGGGGAGGAACAGGGGGCCAAGTGATCAGCAACTACATGCAGGCACCACAGCGGGAAATCGGAAGCCGCATATCTCGTCTTCGGGGGGAGGTAGAGGGAAAGGCGGACGCCTCTTGAACCTCTCAGGAGGGTTTCCAGGAATCTGTTCCGCGGAATTGCCCAATGCGTGTCCAGGGCTAGTCCAACACCACGCCACTCTGCGAATGAGCGCAAACCGATGCGTCACAAGGTCTGCATGTGGGGTAGGTGTTGTAACGCTGCACCGTGATATTACGACGCGACCTTACTGCAATCCAAACTAGCATCCTCATTATCATCCTCCGCGACACCATCATTTTATAAGCAGCATCACCACCACCATCATCACCATCACCATCCTCATTATCCTTATCATTATCCTTTTCCTCCTCCGCCTCCTCCTCATCCTCCCAATCACCATCACCATCATCATCATCATCATCAGCAGCATCATCATCAGCATCACCATCATCAGCTTCGTCATCGTCATCGTCATCAACATCATCCTCCTCCTCATCAACAACGTCTGGGAGATTGACACCCCCTCGACTTGAATTTAAATTCGTCAATTCAGAAATCACGCGCCTTAGCGCCAGGCCAACAAATTCTCGAACTTCACGGGCGTGTGCGACCAGGCGTTTGGTTTTCGAACTGGTGCAACCGTTTCGATTGAGAACTGACGATTTGTGCAACTTGCTTGAGTAGAGACCGACGAGCTGTGCAACCTTGGTGTTGGTTCTGTCGGGTTGGGATCGGTTTTCGAACTCGTGCAACCTGCTCGGTCGAGATTCGACGGCTCGTGCACCTTTTCAATTGGGAAGCGAGTTGTGCAACAAGTTTGATTGAGAACCGACGACTTGTGCAGCTTTCGATGGGGAACCGACGAGGTGTGCAACCTGTTTCGTTGTGTCGGGTTGAGCTGGGTGTTCGACTTTGTGCAACGAATGGACGACTTGTGCAGTTTTTTGACTTGGGAACCAAAGAGATGTGCAAGTGTTTTCGTTTTGTCGGGGCGGGCTCGTTTCTAGAACTTGTGCAACCTGTCTGTTTCAGAACTGACGACGTGTGCAATTGTTCTAAATGGGTGCCGAAAAATGTTGCAACCTTTCTCGGTGTGTCGGACAGGGCTCGGTGTTCAACGTGTGCAAATTTCCTGGGTGATTGAAACCTGATGGCTTGTGCAACTTTGTTGTGTCAACTTTTTGAGAGACGAGTGGTTCAACCCTTTCCGCGCCCTACTCTAAAAGCTGCTCAAGACGTCACCTCCGAATCCAAGTGGTTGCACCAGTTCGAACACCGAGCCCACCCCGACGAAACGAACAAGGTTGCACAACTCGTCGGTTTCCAGAATGAACAAACTGCACCAGCCATCAATTCTAAATTGAAGAGGTTGCACAACTTCGAAAACCAAGCCCAACGTGACGAAACGACAAAGGATACACAGCTCGTCAATTCCCTTTCAAAAAAGCTGCACAAGTCGCCATGTCTAAATCACAAAGGTCGCACAAAATCGAGTACAGAACCCGACCCGACGAAACGGCAAAGGTTGACCAACCCCCAAGTTCCAACACACAAACAATTCACACATAGTCAGCTCTCAATCCAAAAACAGCTGCACTCATTCCAGAACCGAACACAACTCGGCGAAACGACAAAAATTGTACAACTAGTCGGCTGCGAATCAAAAAAGGCTGCAGAGGTCGCCAAGTCTGAATCAGCAAGGTTGCACACGCTCGAAAATCAAAACCAACCCGACGAACCGAAAAATGTCACACAACCCCTCGGCCCTCAAACAAAAAAGGCTGCAAACGCCGCCAATTCTAAATAGAAATGACTGGACCTGTTCGATCACCGAACCCGACGCGGCCAAACGAAACGCATGCTGCACAAGCTTGAACATGCCCGCTTCCCATGCACAATTGACGACTAATCCCATGAACATGTATAAGTTTCATGTGCTACCGCCTGGCCCATAAGCCCAAGTCTTTAACAATCCCAGATCAGCATCAAACAACGCCATCATCGTCACCACCACCACCATCATCACCCGCATCATCATCATCATCATCATCATCATCATCATCATCATCATCAGCATCATCATCATCATCATCATCATCATCACCATCATCACCATCATCGCCATCAGCATCCTTGCCCCCGTAAGCACCATCATGATCCTCATCCTCATCATTATCCTCATCCTCCTCCTCCCCATCATCATCATCGTCATCATTATCAACAACATCATCATCAACATCAGCACCACCAACAACAACAACAACAACAACAACAATCATTTTACCCGAACGCTCAGTGTTCTCACCAGTGCCAGGGTTTTCATGCGACGCGAGACAATACCCCCACTTCGTGGGGGGGCAGTTCAAGCTCTACCAAATATCCAAACGACTCTTCGCGACCACCCAAACCCAGCTTCCCGCCCTATGACGTTGGGACACTTCACTTCGTGGCGTGCGGACGACCGTGGCTACTACACTGGCGTGGGGTACACACCCACAGAACTTGGTCACTTATTCGGGGCGCGCGTGTGCCCAGCATCCTGCAATTGTGACATACAATACATGACACAGACAGACAGAGAGAGAGACAGAGAGCAGACAGAGAGAGAGACAGAGAGAGCGGAGTTGGTCACATTTTTGGGGCAAGTTCCTGAGATCGTCGTGTTTTTTGTTGGTCTTGCGCGCGCGAATGTCCACTTTACTTTTTTTTTGCAAGGGAGTATTGAAATTTGATTATGTTAGAACAAGAAAAAGTAGCTCGCGCGAGCTCATGTAACATAAATGTTGAAAAACCAGAGTCGGACAGCGCGCGCGGAATGAAATTTGGACATTTTTTTTTGAAAAACCAGTGGGTTTTTTGATGTTTTTATGTTGAAATCGTTACGAAACCTAAGGTTCTGGAAGGATTTCGTCTTGCGCGCGCGAATGTCCACTTTACCTTATTTTTTGCAAGGGATTATTGAAATTTGATTATGTTAGAACAAGAAAAAGTAGCTCGCGCGAGCTCATGTAACATAAATGTTGAAAAACCATTGGTTTTGTGGGATTCGGACAGCGCGCGCGGAAGGACATTTTGACAATTTTTTCTTAAAAAACCATTGGGTTTTTGATGTTTTTATGTTAAAATCCGATTGGGTTTCGATGTTTTTATGTTAAAATCATTTCGTCTTGCGCGCACGAATGTCCACTTTACCTTATTTTTTGCAAGGGATTCTTGCAATTTGATCAAGTAAGAACAAGAATTTTCATTTTCTATTGTTTTTTGCAAGGGACAGCGGGGGGGAACAAAACAACCGGATCCGGACATAATCCACTTTTCTGAAGCTTTCGCGAAAAAATGATGAAAATGTAGCTGCGGCCTAGGCGCGGCGCAGAGGTCGCGCACCAGGGGTCCCAACAATAATAATTCTTTAGAAGGAATAATATTCAACAGCAACATGACCATGATCAGCCTAGTCATACTTACCATATCCGCCACCGTGCCCGCAGGCACGAGTTGGAGTGTCCTCGGGTCACTTGCTCGAGCCCCCAAGCCCCAGGCCTCAGTCCCGACTCCTGAGGAGCCTGTAAGGAGCGCGGGCGCGAAGCTCTCAAATCTCCGGGGGCCTGCTCCCTGGGCCCCCCGAGTGGTGGTGCGTGACGGGTTCGGGGCCAGGAGGGCCCAAGACGGGCCAAGAGACCTCCAGGACCGTCGGGACGCCCCAAGAGAGCTCCAAGAGCCTTCCTAAGAGGGCCCCGAGGGGCAAATCTCATTGAGGCCCCTGAGGTGTGTCAAATGGCTTTCGGGTTCTCGACTGTTCGACCTTCCGACGCTCCAAGACGTCCCAAGAGGCACCCAAGACCATCCCAAGACAGCACCAGAGGCCTCCAAAAGGGCCCCAAGATGGCCCAAGATGGCCTCAAGGCGGCCCAGGAGGCGCTCAAGACCGCCTAAAAGAGATCCAAAACATCCCGAGGAAGGCCCCACGAGGAGCCCGAACCGACAATTCGAGCCGTCCGTTCAAGATGCCCCCAAGAGGCCCCAACTGCCCCCAAGAGGCCCCCTCAATTGGCTCCACAATGCTCCCGAGAGGCCTCTGGGGGCATCCCAAGCACGGTGGACGGATGGGCCGAAGGCCATTCGATTGACCAACATCACGAATCATCATACCAATAGTCACCTTCACCCTCCCTACCCTGATCTCAGCGCACACACACACACACACACTTACACTCCTCTTCAGAATCGTCACCTCCAATGCCATCAGCATCCTCATCATCAGCGTCCCGTCCGAATCATCCTTTCCACGTCGTCGGCATCGTCATCGTTATCGTCATCGTCATCGGCATCATCATCATAATCAGCAGCATCATCGTCATGAGCAGCATCATCAGCATCATCATCAGCACCATCATCATCAGCATCATCATCAAACATCAATTATCAACCGACATCATCACCATCAACATCAGCATCATCATCGTTGTCACCATCCGTCCCTGATCAGTTGGGCCAGCAACCCACCGAAGCTGGCGTTGAGAAGGCCCCCTACGGTGTCGCTGGTGTACTTCGCGACGTCCTCGGCCCATCACGGTCTACTCACATCCCAAATGCTCATCCGTGACGCCCTCCTCTCCCAAACCCTCCTCCCCCTGCACCTCGACCGCTCACCCCTCACCTGGCCCCTTCTTGGTACTGGAGCCACGCGCGCGCGCGCCTCGCGCGCGAGTTCCGGCTCTAATAAGCTCTAGTTGTAGTCTAGAGTGTCCGGCGTCGGAGGACGTATATCGCACACGGATCGTGCCCCTCAGGGCGCTCCACCAACGGCCCCAGAGACAGGCTTGGCGTAGCACACCCCCGTCCATGGTGGCACACCCTTCACGGGGATCGCGCCCCACAGCGAGCTCCACCTACGTCTCCAGAGGCAAAGCTCGCATAGTGGCACGCCCCTCGCGCGAATCGTGCCACGCACGTAAATGCACTGGCGGCACCCGAGGGAAGCTTCATGGTGGCGCCCCGCTCATTTCGGTACACCTCTAACACGGATCTTGGCCCGCAAAGAGTTCCACGGACGGTCCCAGAGACAATGTTCGCATCTCGACCCCCCACACCTCCCGCCTAACCAGGTACACCTCTCACACGGACCGTGGCCCACAGGGATCTCCACCTACAGCCCCAGAGGCAAGGCTCGCATAGCTCCCCGCCCAAAGGCAATTGCGGCACACCCCATCGCGCGCATGGTGCCCAAAAAGAGCACCACCTACAGACCTGAAGGCAAGTTTCGAACAACGCCACTTCGTCCATGTCGGCACACTCGTCACTCGAATCATGGGAGGGAGGGAGGGAGGAAGGGGAGCAGGACAGGGAGAGAGAGGGAGGGAGGGAGGAAGGGGAGCAGGAGAGGGAGGAGGCACAGAAGCAGAGAGAGAGGAGTGGGAGGGAGCGCAGGGGAGGCTCGGGACGGAGGATGGCCAGGGGACGAGCCCGCTCTCCCCTGCGCCCTGCGCCCCCCCCCCCCCTGCGGGGCCAGGGGCCAGGATGTCTGAGGCGCTTCAGAGTGCTTGCCGTCGCTCGGACGTCCATTTCTGAAGGGGCCCTGGGACACACAAATAAATACACACCAATAAAAAGATTCCCCATATTTTCCCATATGTTCTGGGATGTTGTCTTCCCCCCCGCTTCCCATATTTTCTCATATTTTCCTGGGAGTCGACGATTAATTGTGTCTGTTTGTTTTTTCCCCTCCTGAATTTCCTGTCAATGTTTCGGTTTCGTGCGTGTTTTTTGTTGCTCGATGGTCCAGGATGGTCCTCGCCGAGAAAAGACGCACACGTCCGGGCGATGCCAAGAGTGAAGCGAAAAACCCTCCCTTGGAGCTCGTGGGAGAGGATGCGAGGCATTGCGAAACAGTTGCATGAATACCCCCCGAGTCCTGAGGCATCAGCGCAGCCCCTCTTTTGGGAAAGCTCCCCCTTCATCCCCCCTTCACCGTCCACCTCCTTGGGAACAATGCCCCTTTCATCGCCCTTCCATTCCTGGAAGGATCAGCGCAGCTCTGATTGGGGCTCCATTGGAAACCTCACGGGGCTCTCCTGGGCCGTCTTGAGGCTTTCGTGGACCGTCTTGAGCCGACTTTTGGTGCCTCTCGGCCGTCTTGGCGCTTTCTTGGGACCTCCTGAGGTGCTCTTGGAGCTCTCTTCGGCCGTCTTGTGGCCCTCTTGGGCTACCTTGGCGCTCTGTTCGGCTTTCTGGGGGCTTCCTTGGAGGCCTCGTGGGGTGTCTTTGGGCGAATTGAGGCCCCGATCTGGGGCTCCCGAAGTGTGCGCGGGGAGCCCCGGTCCACCCATTTGCGGTCCGCGAGGACCCCCTGACCAGGTCCCCATATATATATATATATATATATATATATTATATATATATATATAGATATACATATATATATGTATATACACACATGCATGCATGCATGCATGAAAACATACAGCATACACACATACACACATACACACATACACACATACACACACATACATACATACATACATACATACATACCTACAGACAGACAGACAGACAGACAGACAGACAGACAGACAGACAGACAGACAGACAGACAGACAGACAGACAGACAGACACACATACATGCATACATGCCACCGTGCCTCTGGCACGGAGTGAGATGCCCCACGGCTCTCATGCAGCCCTGACAGGCAGAGGGTCAGGTCCTCGAGGGCCTCCGTCCTTGGCGCCTGGCGGATGCCGCCCGCCGCGGCCCCTGCCGCAGGGCCCGCGGGGTCGCGCGGCTGGGGGAGCTGCATCTGGGACCCGCCGGCTCGCGCAGCATGGCAGACCCGGACCTTTGAAGGAGCCCCGGGACACACAAATAACTGCACACAAATAACAAGAACCCCCATATGCTCCTATATGTTCTGGGATGTTGTCTTCCCCCCCCCACTTCCCATATTTTCCTATATTTTCTGGGGAATCGACGATTGATTGTGTCTGTGTGTTTCTTTCCCTCCTGGACCTTGGCATCCTGCGTGCCCAGGTCCTCCGCCTTCGAATGCTGGCCGCGCAGCAAGGCTGTGGATGCCACGACAGTGGACACCCTAACTTTTTTGATTCGCGGGTCGAGAGCGAGCCTCTTCCGGTCGAAGCTAAGCGGGCCGCGCACAGCTTGAATTAACAGAGGAAGATAAAAAGAAGGCGGGGCCTCACGTCAAGGCCGAGAGAGGGCAATGAACACCCTACCAGTCCTATCATCGAATGAACAATGAGTATAACATTCCAGAACAAAGTCCGGAAAATGTTTAAAACATGTTTTGCTTGCACAAAAAAATGTTAACACATGTTCTAGACATCTGGAAATCATTTTTCGGACGCCCGACATGGGTACGGCAAAAATGGGCACACTGCCCAACAACAAATGTTGTCCCCAAACAACAGCGGCCGCTGCTGGGCAGGCGACCTTCTGTCTCGAATGTACACCAGCCGCGGCGACACCGACAGCGAGTCCTGCTCAAAATGCACAGGACCTGCTGTTGGGCATTGTACCCATTCTTTCCGTACAGATTTTTGTTCGTGCCGATATGCAACATGCTCCCTTCAAGGGGCCCAAGGACACACAAATGAATACACACAAATAAAAATATGCCCCATATTTTCCAATCTTTTCTGGTTGTTTGTCTCCCCCCATATTTTCCCAGATCTTCCTGGGACTCGACGATGAATTGTGTCTGTGTTTTTTTCCCCTCCTGATTCCTCTCCATCGATCGTCCTCCACAACAGCGGCGCCGATCTATTTAGATCCGCCTATCTAAATAGAGCTTGGTGATCTAAATAAAGCCTTTTTTCAGAGCCGATCTATTTAGATAGGTTTTCTGCAAACAAATAATCCTATCTATTTAGATCCGTAACCATTTTGTTCGTGCCGATATTTGGCAACATGCTTCCTCTCCATCGATCGCCCTCCACAGCAGCAGGGCCCCGGCGCCCTCCGCGCGCAGCAGAGAGCGCCTTGGCCGCGGAGCGCCCTGGCCGCGGGGGCTCCGGGTGCCGGGCAGCAGGCGACGGCCGATCTCGCGGCGATCGCGGCGGCCGCTCGGGATGGCGGCCGGCGCCCGCGCGTCGGGCTGTCGGTTGGGGCCGAGTGTTTAACCAGCCTCGAACGTATCCTTATCCCTAAGATGGGCGAGCAAAAAGCGAGGACAATCTTAGGAATAGGCCCTCAAAAACTGAGGTAATCCTTAAGATCATCATCGAGGTGAGGTGATGTCAAACATAGGGATAGGGATATGCTCCAGGCTGGTAAGTGTTATGTTGCTCCCATCGCACGGAGCTGGGGCAGAGGGGGGGGCGAGGGGGCGGGAGGGCCCGCGCAGAGTCCTGAGCGTGGAGCCCCACATCCCTGCGGTGAACGTTGTGCTACGATGTATGTTGCTCCCATCCTACTTCAAGACCACATCCCAGGAATAATTTCGAGCACCCGGAGAAGTGTCAAAAGAGTGTCGAGACAGTGTCGAAACAGTGTCGGGCGAGTGTCTCCCAGGGCCCGACACGTGAAAACCCTTGAGTTTCGGTACTTGTCGGGGCGCTCGAAATTCTTCCTGGTGATCAAGGCTGAAGTAGGTTGGAGCATCATAAGGTTGGGGCCGAGGGGAAGCGCCCGCGCGCAGAGGCTGGCGCTGTCGCGCCCCCCGCCAGACGCAGACAAGCGAAAGCGGCGTTATATAGAAGCGAAGTGTCTGATGAGGCGTCTGCGACATCGCCAGTGCCCAGCTGATGCTCACTGGCTGCCCTTCCAATGCGCCCGTCGCCAAACCCTCAGGAGGACAGAGGCAGAAGGCTGGCGTCGTCGCGCCCCGCCCCAGCTGGGCCAGACGTAGACAAATGAAGGCGGCGTGACAGAGGCGAACCCCTTGCATTTGTATACCTTTTGAGCCCTGTAGGGGGCAAGGGAAACACCCCGGGCCCTCTCCGCGCGTTTGCACTCATTACCAAAGTTACCCTCGCTCTCTCTCTCTCTCTCTCTTTCAGCGCGGCATAGCCACGTGCCACGTGACCGCCAGGCGCCGCACAGCCTGGAAGGGTGAGGAAGAGGTGGCACGCGTGCATGGCGCAGAGAAATAAAATGAAAGGGATGGGCTAGCTCTGCAGACCCCTCCTCCTGCCGGGTCGGGCGAAAGGGGGGATAACAAAGGGGGGGGGGTGAGAATCCGCTTACGTAGCTGATTTTCCCAGCGCCTCCCGGCGCCAGGAGGCGCCCATGTATCGAGGAATGGGCCCCTCGGTGGGGCCAAAGCCAGCTGCACGCAGCAGATTTCGTAACCCCCCTTTCCCATTCCCACCTTTCGTCTGGCCCGATCCTGGCAGAATTCCTCGCCGTAACTTCGGGAGGTAAGGGGTGACGGCCGGGAAGCAGGTGGGCTGTCTGAGTCGTGCGGCGCCGCACGAGGCAAAAGCCCCACAAGCGGCGCAGAGGAACACTGGCATAGCGGTTACTTAACCGACGTGACGAGCAACTTGTGCCCACTGGCACCTGAACCGCATCTAGGACCCTGGAGGCGCCGGCCAGGTCCAAAGAGCTCACGTGTGGGTGGGTGGGTGGGCTGGCGGGGGGGCAGAGCTCTGGGATGCTAACCCCTTCGCGCCCGCGCGTAATCCCTCCTCGCCCTCCTCGTCTTGCTCACCGGGCACCCCATCCTCGTTCTCCTCCTGGCCAGGAGATGTTGTCACTGATGATCCAGCGGCGGCCCCTTCGCGCCCTGGTCTCAACGAAGAGGGGCCCGCACTCGCCGGCCCCAAACCTCGGATGCTGGAGTCCAAGCAATCCACGCTAACGGCGACGTTGGTTGACGGCAACGCTGGGAATCTGGTTTCTGCGGCGACGAACTCGCGCATGACCGACTGTAGGAAATCACGAGCTACACACTCCTGCATCTCAAACACGCAAATACATCGAGCAAGGGCGGCACGGATAGTTGTGGGAAACCACGAACCACGCTTTCCTACAATCGAGTCGGCCACAAACCACGCCCACCTGCAATACCGAAACCTACATCGCCGTTGCCTACATCGCCGTTAGCGTATCTAAGCTGTCTTTCCTCCCGGAATGAAGGGGAGGGGGAGAGCGCTTCGAAAGGCGAGACGCTCCGCGACCGACTCCGTGACTCTGGCAGGAGCACCTGCGCCCGACGCCGCACCTAGCGACGGCCTCGGACGCTGGCATCGAGCCGAACCTGGAAGAGAATCCTCACCCGTCCGTGCGGGGGCGAGGCAGGGTTGGAACAGATTGCTCTCGGTTCTGACTTGGGCGAGGAGAAGAAGCGGGTCTTACGCGAGATGGCACAGCGACCTTACGCGATGGCTCACGCGGTGGAAGCAAGGCGCGCAACCTTATTTACGCGAGCAGCTGGCGCGCGCATGTCGGCGCAGCTGAACCCCGTTCCTGTTGTTCGCTGCTCCACTGCGCGGAGCCGAGGCCGTCACAGACCTCGCCAGCCAGACATCCCTCTCGGGTCGGGCGAAAGGGGGGGATAGCAAAGGGGGGGTTTGAGAATCAGCTCACGTAGCTGATTTTCCCGGCGCCTCCCGGCGCCGGAGGCGCCCATGTATCGAGGAATGGGCCCCTCGGTGGGCCGAAACCAGCTGCATGCAGCAAATTTCGTAACCCCCCCTTTCCCAATCCCCCCCTTTCGCCCGGCCCGACTCTCCCGCCCCGCCCCCCGCCCCCCAACGCCAGACGGGAAAAGAGCGGGGGACGGGAACGGGAGGGCAGAAGGAGAAGGGGAGCAGCCTGCCCCTGCACACCACCGCTGCGCCCTCTCTACTCCTCCTCCTCCTCCTCCTCCTCCTCCTCCTCCTCCTCCTCCCTCTCCTCTCCTCCTCCTTCTCCTCCTCCTCCTCCTCCTCCTCCTCCTCCGCCTCCTTCTCCTCCTCCTCCTCCTCCTCCTCCGCCTCCGCCTCCTCCTCCCATCCGCCCACCTCCGACCTCCCGTCCCGACCTCCTCATGCCCTTCTCCCTCCTCCCCGCCCACCGCTGGAGGCCTTTCCTAGATGGGATTGGACCAGTTGAGGTCGGAGCATCGCGCCGCATCGCCGATGCACCGGCGATGCATCGGCGATGTATTGGCGATGCATCAGCGATGCATAGTCGACGTCGGCGAAGCATCGGCGACGTCGACTTGAAGCATATCGGGCCCCACATCTGGCAGCGTCGGCGATGCATCGGCGATGCGACAAAACCCTCCGACCCCATCCACTCCGAAACCGTTTGGGAGGCCTAGCACCGCCCCGCCTCTCTGGGCCACTCGCATCCAACGCCCCTCCTCTTCACTCCACATGCCCCGTCCTCCTCCTGTCGGCGGTGTACAAACCTCTCTTTAGTAAACCTCTCCTTAGTGAAAACGGCCTGGGACCGAAGCCGACGGACCTGGACCCGTGAAAAGGACGGCCGCGACGCCCCCTCGCGAGCCGAAAACGGCCAATTCCTTGATCGACGTGTCAGGGTAGGAGGTCTATCAACCTCCGACTCTGCCTCCCCTCCCCTCCCGGCGCCGGTACCGATGCCCAAAGGCGGTGGCCGACGCCGGGGGCGCGCGCGCGCGCGCGCGAGTCTCCTCCGTCACAAAGGACACCCGCTCGGCGAACCTGTAGGGGCGGTGGGGGGGGGGGCTGGGGGCTGGCCCCGGCCGAGTGGGCAGGGAGGCACCTGCGGGGGCGAGGCGCAGGAGAGGAGCGCGAGGCGACGGCCCGGCCCCTCCGCGAGGTGCTCTCCGGCCAGGAAAAAACCGAGGAGGGCCCAGCCGTGGCGACGAGGCCCGCCCGGGAAGAGCAGCGGCACCGACGCACCCCTCCCTCTCCTCTGCGCGGGCCGTCGAACACACACACGCACACACACACACACACAACAAAAAAAAAAAAAAACGCGCACGCACGCACGCACGCACGCACGCACGCACGCACGCACGCACGCACGCACGCACCCACACACAAGACCCTTCCGAGGGCCACATCGCCATAGGAGTGTAAGAAGGCACGCGGCGCGAGGCACAGGACACAAGGGTACCCTTGAGCTGGCAGGGTCGACCTACTGATCCGGGCCGCCTGTAGGTACGCCGTCGCAGACACATACAAGACGGCCAGGACCGGCAGTGCCCAGGAAAGAGCCGAGACACCACCTTCGGAAAATTGCCCGATGCAGAGGTCGAGGTTATTGACGGAACCAGCGAGGTCGCAGTTATGCGACAGCTGTGCCCGGAGTGACGATGACCCGGTTGCGATGGAGCTCGTCGCGGAACCAGCGCTCACGCAGCCGAAGTCGCCATGTTCACCAACGACGAGGCTTATGTCGGGCCGGTCTCTCTACAGGGGGAACACTCAAAAATAGTAAAATAATAGTCTGGGGGCTATGAAAAATCCCTCTGTAGGGGGACACGCCCGACTTAATACCAGCTTTGGGACCAGCAGCCACAGCACCACCGACGCCGAGGGCACGGCCAGAGAGCCGCTGGCGCTGAGGACACGGCCGGCGAGACCAAGACGGAGAGCGAGGAGGACTTTGATTACGATTTGGACGCCCGAAATGTGTACGGAAAGAATGGGAGCGGTTCCTGTTCATTTTGAACAGGACTCGCTGTCGGTGTCGCCGCGGCCTGTGTCCATTCGAGACAGAAGGCCGCCTGCCCAACAGCGGCCGCTGTTGGTTTGGGACAACATTTGTTGTTGGGCTTTGTACCCATGCTTTCCGTACCGATTTCGGGCGTCCAAACACGAGGAGGGAGCAAGCTGGCGACGCCCACGAGGCGGCCAGATGCGGTTCTTCAAGGAGGAAGACGCCAGCTACACCGACGAGGAGGAGGATGACTCCACCCAGCGGGTAGAGCAGAAAAGCTACACTTAAGTCGGGCCTGTCCCCCTACAGGGGGATTTTAAGCGAAAAATTCAAAATACCCAGAAAAATACCCGGTAAATGTTCAAAATTGGTGAAAAAATATTCCCCTGACTATGTTTTTCCTATTTTTGAATATTCCCCTGAGGAGGGACAGGCCCGACTTAATTAAACCTACCAGGAGACCGCCCCCGACCGCAAGGAGAAGCCGACGGGAGGAAGGCTGCCGAGGGCTTCGCCCGCGAGGAGGCCGCCCGCGCCTGCGAGGAGGCGCCGGGGCTGCTGTCTGGCCCCAGCACAAGAGCAGAAGCCCTGCGCCGGCCCCTGGCACGGCCCCAGCCCAGAACAGTGCAGCAACAGGGGAACGAAGAACGACATAAGCATGAAAACTCTGAGGTCCGCGCGGGTTTCTCGGATCGGCGCTGTCCCCCCCCCGGCGGCGCCTCCGGCGCCGCCCTCGGCGCGCTCCGCGCGCCAGGGAGGGGGGTCCAGCGCGGATCCAAGAAATCTGCGCGGACCTCTGAGTTCTTATATCTTTATATCATTTTTCGTCCCCTTAGATAAAGCTGTGGGCCAGCTGGGTTCCCGGCAGGACGCGTTGGCAGAAGAGCGAGCAATTGGCTCCACTCCAGGGGGAGCATGGCACACTGGAGACGGCGCAGCGATTCGGCTGTGAAACAGGGGCAACAACGCATCAGGGCTGCGGAGCATGATCACAGGAGAGCCCGACTGTGAAGCAGAAAAAGCAGAGCGCCCCACTATTGTGAAGCAAAACAGGAATCATTCCTGGAATGTCACAGGAATTTTAGACGCAAGCGCGGAAAGAAAAGGAGGAAAAATACGAGGACGCTGCCGCTAAAGTGCATTGCAATATCGTGTACACGCACTGGGCCCGTTGCAACTTCGGGCTGCCGCGTCTCCAGACCAAATGCCACTGCTTTGGTACATCACTTCCCGCTTCACGGACCATGGATCTGAAACAACTGTTGTCTAGGAGATCGCACATGTTCTTGTACGCGTGCACGTGCTGTTTGCGCAACGTCTCACTCCGACGGTGCGCCCGCGCTATGGACAGCAATGGCGTTGGACATCCTGGAGTAGCACGCGTGTGTGACCCCACATACTTCTCGAAGACGAAATGCTTCGGAACTGCCTAGCCTGTTCCGGTCTTTGCGTAGTAACCATAGCTTGGGAACAGCAATAACGTCAAACAGGCTTCGAAATACCCTATGTCTCCAGCTCCTTGCCAAAAAGCTATGAATACCCCGTGTGCCGCCTAAACATCTCTTAACGTATGGGCTTGCTTCCGGCTCTGCTATGCAAGAGCCGGCCCAAATACACCGCTTGTGTGCCTGTCTGATTGGCTGCATGGCTGTATCTCGCACGAGCCCTCCGATGTTGATGGCTGTCACAACGTGTTTACTCCCACTCGGATCGAATTACAGGAGTCTTGCGCTTACAAGCAGGGTGTCATTCGCATACGGAACATCAGTACACACGACGTACGCTGGCTCCTCGAGGTTCATGCTGAAGCTCGTCGACGTTGAAACACATCACTGTCTGGACGATGACAAATTCGCAAATGCGTACGGCGATCGCACGCATCCATGGGCCCTTCCTGATCGCTGTTGTCTGGTACTGGAATCGCCCCGCTGGGTCGAGAAGCTACCCCCAGGGAAAGGGGTCGGGACATCTGGGGCAACGCATTTGAAGGGGCCCTGGGACACACACACGCACACATAAATACACACAAATCAAAATATTCCCTATATTTTCTAATATTTTCTGGGTTTTCGTCTTCCCCCCCCACCTCCCATATTTTCCCATATTTTCTGGGGAATCGACGATGAATTATGTCTGTGGTTTTTCCCTCCTGAGCATTGTAGAACTCCTACCGCCGGAGGTCCAGGACGGAAGCGAGATCGAGGTGCATCCTGGGCAACGCCGCGCACCCCGCGAACGCCAGCTCGCGCGCGTCCCGCTGCACCTCCAGGAGCAGCCTGGGAAGCTCGATCGACTGCGCCTGCAGCAGATTCTGGAGCCCCGCCGCGGTCGTGGAAGCGGTGCGGTGGTCAGGAGAACCACATCCGCAACTCTCAAACAGTGAGCCTTGTCAGTGCGCAGGGGGCAACACCCACGCAGATGGCACATGGCACGCACGCAACAAGTCCCCCGAGAAGGGTGGGCGCAACACAGCAAGTTCAGCCGACGGCTCTGAAGGCGTGACCCCTGCATGCGCGGCAACTGCCCAGCGAAGGATCACGGGGAGTGACTGCCCGTGGAAAACTGCGCTTCCACAAACTCGGTCATAGCTTTATTGTTCCATCGCAACAATGGTAATGCTGAGGTTGACAGCCAATGATAGCTCCGCGAGTCACCATGCAAACTTGCGCTACCTGTCGTAACGGCGCTGGCCGGGATGCCGCCTAGAGACACAAACTCGCCATAGTTTCTTGCCGTGCGGCTCCGTGAGGAAGGGCTCCCAGTGATGCCGAGCAAGAGGAGGCGGCAGGAGGACGGAGCAAGAAACAAAAACCTGCGCAAGAACTAAACCTGCAGAGGTCCGCGCCGCCGTCTTGGGATCGGCGCTGGGGCCCCACTGGGCGGCGTCTCTGGTTTGGGAAGGGGGTCTCCGGCGCGGAGCCAAGGAATCCGGGCGGAACTCGAAACGTTTCGGTGTGCGCGACTGCTCATTACTCGACGGGAGGAGGTGGAGGAGGAGGAGGAGGAGGAAAAGGGGGACGGACGGGGAGGAAGAGGAGGAAGGACGAGGAGAGGAAAGCGGCATCGGCGCAGCCAGGGCGAGCGTGAACGTCCCGCGGGGCTGCAGAACAAGCGAACGAACTGGCGCCGGATCCCGCTGAACCGTCTATGAATTGCAAATGCTGCGCCAGACCACTTGCCCTGACGATCTGGCTGAGGCCACATCGATAGTCGATCACTTCACGCCGAGGGCCTGCAGTCTCCGTTGAGCGCTCCGTCCTGCCAAGGAAGCGGAGGAGGGACGAGGAGAGGGCGGCCAGGATGGGGCGAAAACCATACCAGCGCAGCCAGGGTGAATGAGCATCCCTCCGGCGACGAGGAGGAACGAGGAGCTTGGGGCGAATAGTGGGGGGGTGGTGACCCGCCCACGGGAGAACCCTCGAGCTGGAATCGGCGATGCCCCGCCGATAGATCGACGACTGGCCCCCCGTTCTTCGAGGAGGCCTCCCTGGCCGCTGCAGGCCTCGGCCACGACCAGGGCCTACACGACCTGCATCGGACGAACGGCCCGAAAACCAGACCCCAGCGTGAAGCCCGAGGTGATCCGTACTTCAGCGTCTTGACGCTATCCCTCCTCCTCCTCCTCATCATCATCCTCCCCCGCTATCGTGCGAGGCAGGGATATATCCAGATCCGCCCCCTGCAAGACCGACGACCTGGAAGCCCAGCGGGTGGTGGACGCGTGTGCACTTTGGCCCCAGGGGGGCCGAATCCATCCGCATCCACAGCCTGCCGAGAGGCTCCCGCGGATCGATCCCCCCAGGCGGCGGCCATGGATAGATCCCCGCCTCGGAGATCGCTTCCCCAGAGGAAGGGACGGCAAGGGTTCTGCTGCTCCCATCGTACTTAAGGACCACATCCCAGAAATAATTTCGAGCACCCGGACAAATGTCGAAAGAGTGTCGAGAGAGTGTCGAAACAGTGTCGGACGAGTGTCCCCCAGGGCCCGACACGTGAAAAACCCTCGGGTTTTTGGGTACTTCTCTGGCGCTCGAAATTATTTCTGAGGCTAAAGTAGGTTGGAACATCATAGAGCAAGTCCCCGGAAGTGTCGACCAATTCCCCAGGACCGGTTTCTCATCCTGAGTCGTTGTTTGACGGCCCCGAGGCCCGGCGAGGGCCCCTCGGGGCCGAAATGTGCGAAAGAACATCCGTCTTGATTTTTTCAGTACGTTGGATCTCTGGGTCCCCGCCTCGGAGATCGCCGCCCCAGCAGAAGGGGCGGATCAAGGGGGGGGGAACTGAAGGGGGCCCAGGACACACAAATAAACACGCACAAAAAAATAGATTCCCCATAGTTTCCTATATTTTCTGGGTGTCTGTCTTCCCTCCCACTTCCCATCTGTTCCTTATGTTTTCTAGGGAATCGACGACGAATTGTGTCTGTGTTTTGTTTTCCCTCCTGGGGAACGGTATCAGCGCGGCCAGGGCGAACGCGAACGTCCACGCGTGGCCCCAGTCCTGGTGCCTGGCCGCGCGGCTGCCGGAGGGCCCGCGGGGCGAGGCACGCGCGCAGCCTCGCCCCTCCGCCTCGCCTCGCTCGTACCCCCGCGCCTCCTCCTCCTCCTCCTCCTCCTCCTCCTCCTCCTCCTCCTCCTCCTCCTCCTCCTCCTCCGCCTCCTGGTCCTCCTTGTCCTCGTCCTCATCCTCGTCCTCCCCCTCCTCCTCCTCCTCCTCCCACTTCTCCCCCTCGGTTGTTTTTCCCTCTAAGCTGCGATTGCGCCCCTCTCGGGGGGGGGGGGTCGAGCGATCTCTTCGATCTCCGCATACACCGCCTGGGTTTAGTACAGTGAGCCCGTATAGTAAGGATGCCCGATAGGGATGCAAGGGCCTGGGACGCCCACTTCGAAGCTTTCCGAGCGGGGCGCGGCCAGCGAAAGCGGCGAAGGATGGGCCGAGGAGGCAAGGATGCAAGGGTACCCTTGGGAAGGTTTGCCCATCCTTACTATGCGGGTTGACTGTAGCCTCTGTTGGCATGCAGCTGCCTATAGCGTGTTATGAGTTGCCAGCCTGAAAAGAGATCCCTATCCCGATGCTGGGCACCTCCTTATCACGATGCCAATCTTAGGGAATCCCTTATGTTTTGAGGGCGAATCCCTAAGATTGTCATCGCCGTTTGGCGTGTGAATATCAGGGATAGGGATACGTTCGAGGCTGGTAATAGCCGCCGTTGGTGGCCTTTGGTCGCCATGGGGCATCCTCGAGTTGCCTGCAGCGATCTCGAGCAACCTTAGTGGCCTTCGGCGGCGTCTGGTCGCCTGTACAACAGAAGTGGAACCAAAACCATTACGTATGTATGTTAGAAAGAGCTTCGCCCAGATTCCTGCGCCTCGTCGTTGTCGTCGTCCTCCTCCTCCCTCCCCCCCCCGCGTGCATGAGGAGCTTTTGTTAGACGCGTCGACGGGGTGTGGGCCCTCTGGCACGGCGGCTGGCAAGCCGTCCCTGCGAGCCCTGGTGCCCCCGTTCGGGCTGCAAGGGGGCGCACATCGATGGTGGCACCTCAGGGCATTCATAGCGACTGTTTCGGGCACGGCGAGCGCCTGCTGCCATGGCACACCGCCAGTCCGAGCCACCACCTCCAGCATGGCCGCCCGCTCTCGGCACCGGGCCGCGGAGGGCGCGGGCCGCTGCTCTCCTCTCCTGGCAGCGCCACCCCCGTGGCTCTCGGCCAGCAGAACGGCTCTCGCCACCGTCGACCTCTCAGCCACCCCGACGCGTTTTGAAAGCCTTCACGGCCCAACCACAAGAGTGGTGGCGCGCACAGCCTGTTCGCCGTGCAGCGCGCCACCCTACGCTTGGAGATTTCTCAACGAGGAGGATTCAGCCATAACGTCCAACTCGCTTCTCGTACCTCGGAGACGCTTCCCGTCATCCGCCAGGTCCTCGATCACAAGCGGCCCCGAGCGCTCCCCCCCCAGACCCCCCCTTTACAAACAATCCTTCTGGGCACACAGACGTCCATCGCGCGACTCTTCGAGTCTAAGCGCGCTTCCCGTCATCCGCCAAGTCCAGGACAGTGAGGCGGCCCCGCGCGTTCCCCTCCCAAACCCCCCACTATACAAACAATCCCTCTGGGCACACAGACGTCCATCGCGCGACTCTTCGAGTCTTAGCGCGCTTCCGTCATCCGCCAGGTCCCCGACCAGGAGTCGGCACCGCGCGATCCCCCCCCCCAGACTCCCCCCCAGTTGATACTGCCTCTGGCCGAGAGAACGTCCATCGCGCGACTCTTCGAGTCTTAGCGCGCTTCCCGTCATCCGCCAGGTCCCCGACCACGAGGCGGCGCCGCGCGTTCCCCCCCCAGACCCTCACCAGTTGAATACTGCCTCTGACCGAGAGAACGTCCATCGCGCGACTCTTCGAGTCTTAGCGCGCTTCCCGTCATCCGCAAGGTCCTGCGCCCCGAAGCGGCGCCGCGCGCTCCCCCCCAACCCCCCCCCCAGTTGATGAAAAGATCCCTCTGGGCACACAGACGTCCATTGCGCGACCCTTCGAGTCTTAGCACGCTTCCCGTCACACAACGTGGCAGGGGTGTGCCGACATGGACATGCGGTGGGCGGGGAACCGCATGCGAATGCGGCCGCTGGAGCTTTCGGTCGACCTCCATGTAAGGCCACGAAGCTGTTGAGGGGTGCGCCGAAGAGGTTGACATACGGAGGGCAAAGGCAAGGATGGGAGGAGGGAGGAGGGAGAGGAAGAAAAAAGGACGGGGACGCGGGGACTGTGTCGTCAAAACGAAGACCCAACTCACCACAGGATGGTTGGGAAATGCGATTGGCTTGCCGTTTCATATTGATGGGAACCTCAATTGGGCACACCACTCACGCATTTCTTGCATGTTGGGCGCTCAATTTGCCCCCGAAACGGCACCTTGGCGTCTCAAGCCGGCACACCCCTCATGCACCCCGTGCCTCATGGACCCCCAGGGGCCCCTAACCGGCCTCCACAACAGCCGGGTTCCCCGTGGGGCCACAAATCCGCCCCCAGCATTGCAACAATTGGCACCGACCCTCGTCGAAGTAACAACTACGACTAACACCCACGGGTTGCAAAATCTGCGTGCAAGGTTCCGCCTCGTTCTCCCCTCGTCGTCCTCCTCCTCCTTCTTACTCCTCCTTCTTACTCCTCCTTCTTACTTTTCCTTCTTACTCCTCCTCCTCCTCCTCCTCTTCCCTCTGGAGGCCCTACGTGGCCCACGCCCTGCGGGCCGAACAGCAGATCGCGGAACAACAGCAACGCCGACCTCCCGCCCGCCTGTGCGTGGACGCCCCGTATGGCTACGCGGAACATGGCCCTGATGCCCAACGGGTGCTGTCCAGAACCGACAGGGGCCGAAGGATTGCAAAAAAAAACCACAGGAACGAAGGATTGCAAAAAAAACCTTTGTCCAGAACCGACAGGGGCCGCTGTTGGGCAGGCGACCTTCTGTCTCAACTGGACAACGTCCGCGGCGGCACCGACAGCGAACCTCAGCACGGGAGGAGCGGCCCTCGTGGCCCAAAAGGGGTCCAGCTGAATGGGAGCGGTGCACTAGAGTTGGGGCAATCGCACTGCAAATGTACTGCGCCAGAGGATTGTATCACATGGTATTGCAGCGAATGGTTTGCATACGAAAACCAACCATACACGTGCGAGCCTCCATCTATTGCACATCCCAAATCTACTGCAATTCCACACATGTGCTACATCAAATGTATTGCACCACCGCCTTTTCGCTGGATCCCCTGTTTGGGTCAACCGGAAACGGGTCCTGAGGAACGCGGGTCCTGGACCCTTGGGGGCCCCTCCCCTGGGACGAGATCCTTTCACGACGACACGGGAGCGAAGAGAGCCTCTGAACGTTCCGGGTAGGCTGCGATGGATTAAACCACGCTGGGCGTCCCCGCCACCCCGAAGGAGGAGGAGGAGGAGGAGAAAGAGGAGGAGGAGGAGGAGGAGGCGGAGGAGGAGGAGGAGGAGGAGAAGGAGGAGGGGGGGGGTGGTGGGGGGGGAGGAGGAGGGGGGGGGGAGGGGGAGGAGGAGGAGGAGAAGGAGGAGGAGGAGGAGGAGGAGAAGGAGGAGGAGAGCGACACCGAAGCCTCGGCCGACACGTCGGGAGCGCCTTTAAAAAAAGTATACGGCAGCGCTCGTCGCCGCGGCGGCCCTCCCGCGGCCGAGGGCGGCGAGAAACAACCTCAGGATCCCGTTTTTCTCGGGACCGTCGCTGCCCCCGATGGCGAGAGCCATACAGGAGGAGCTCTACAGGAGGGGGCTTCCCAACGGCACGGCGATCCCGGGCTGCTCCTGCGCTACAGTCGGGGCGCTGACCTGAGGAACCCTAAATAAAGAACGAGGCCTCTTTCTTTCCAGAAGTTGAACTTCGATTTCCGACCGGAAGCATAAGGAAAAAACCTGAGGCAAGCTGCGAAACACTTCAGGAACGCGGAGCCCCTCCCCAACGAAAAGGGCTCCTTCTTCAGGGCCCCGACTGTACCACAAGAAACCTCCCACAAGAAACCAAGCCCTGAAACCCTGGGATGCCCAAAGATTTTCATACGGGATCGTCCCGCTCTCCGTCAACAAGACCATCGAAACTTGAGAAACAAAGGGCACCCTGGAGGCAAGCAGGGCGTCTCTTGGCATGGATTTCCACTGCATTCATCGGCTACACGCAGAAGTGACCCTGGGTAAGAGTGACCTTTGGTGCGCGGCTTTTTGGGGGGCCGCGGGGGGACCAAACCTGGGCGCGCAAGCCGCTGCTCCTGCTTCCTTTTCAACCATCTGGGGACCCATCCGTGCCCGCACCAAAGGTCACTCCGGCGAAAGGTCACTCTTACGTCTAGTCTCGGGGAGACGTAAGACTCGGGTACGGGGGACGCGGGTTGGCCTGACGGGGTCCAATATAAAAAAATGACGAGACCCCATCTGAAATTTGACGCGAGCTCTCACTGCAGACATCCCACGAAAACTGGACCGTCAAAATCCAGACCGCGCTCGTCAAAAAACGTCGGCAAACCCGAGTTCCGGCTTACCCGAGTCTTACGTTCCCCCGATAGTCGAATTCAAAACGGACATGGGCTGCATGCTGCCGGCCTTCGTCCCGTTTCCTTGCCGTGCCCATCTCGATCGTATCGAGCTGCCGCCCCCCGGAGGTACGCCCGGGCCCGCCCGGCCGGCAGGCGGGCCCCCCCCGGGGGCGCACTCCGGGCTGGCCAGCACCGCCAGCGGCACGAAGACGAGCAGGACGTTGAGGCTGGACAGCGGGGGGGGCAGGAGAGAAGGAGCGGAAAGAGGAGGGCGGGCTGAAGTTGGAGGAGGAGTTGGAGGAGTTACAGGAGGAGGAGGTGTTTGCGGGGGAGGAGGAGGAGGAGGAGGAGGAGGAGGAGGAGGAGGAGGAGGAGGAGGAGGAGGAGGAGGAGGAGGAGGAGGAGGCGGAGGGAGCCACTCATGGGAGCGGTTCGTAAGCAGGATCAAGCGCGAGCAAGCCCGAATGGTGGGCCACTAACTAAGTCGGATGAGGCTGGATTGAGCCCAATTCTCAACAATACTTGACGGGGTCAAGCCGGATTCAGCGGTACTATACCAGATGAGGCTGGTTTTCGAACGCGGAGATACCAGCGCCGATGCTGGGTTCAACCTTCCAGGAGTTGCATCCGAAGGAGGGTGGAGGATGGTGCAGGCTCGAGGTGAGAGGTGGTTGGGTGCCGGGAAGCATTGCCATTATGCGCTCCTCTGTGCCGTCGCGGGCCTCTCCGCTGCCCCGCTTCTCTGTGCCCTTCCGGTTCCTGTGGTGCGCGCACTGCTCGCACGACATTCCTGCGCTTACGCGAATACTTTTCCACCTTCTGCCGGGAGGATGAATAGGGAGGAGGGGGTGGAAGGAGTGGATGGGGGAAAGGGGAGGGGGGAGTGGAAAGAGTGCCCAGAATCGAATCGATAAGTCGGATCGGCGATCGGAATGGATCGGATCGGCGGAAAAAGGGCAGCTAAGCCGGGAGGAGTCGGATCGGCAGAAATCGGCAGGCTAGTACGCCTCCAATCAAGAAATCGGAACACAACTCGGGATCTCCAGTCGAATCGAATCGGAATCGGCAGCCATTGAAATCGAACCGAATCGCATCGGAGGAGCCGAGGTGAGCCCTGGAGGGGAGGGGAGGGAAACTGCCAGGGCGCGAGGAGAAGGGCGAGCGGAGGGGGGGCCATACGTGGGGTGCAGAGGGCGAGGAGGAGCGGGAGGCGCAGGCTCCCCCTCTGCCCCTCCCTCCCCCAATCCCTCTCCTGCGACGCACCGTGCGCGCTCGGGCTGCCCCCTTCGCTGCGCCGGCGCAGGAGCAGAAGTCCTCCTGCACCCAGGCCCCCCGGTCCCTGCCTCGAGGCCCCTCTCTCTCCCCCCCCCTCCCTGCGTCCTCCCCTCCTCCTCTCCCTTCCCCTTTCCCCCTGCCCTCACCCCAGACCCCCCCGACGCCGTGCTGTTGCTCACGACGTCCAGCTCCAGAGGTGTCGACCTGCTCCCCGGGAGGGGTTTTCCATCCCTAGTCGACCTTGGACGGTCTCGGGGCCCCGCGGGGGCCCCCACAGGCCGACACGCACACACACACACACACACACACACACACACACACACACACACACACACACACACACACACACACACACACACACACACACACACACGCACACACACACACACACACACACACACACACACACACACACACACACACACACACACACACACACGCACACACACCCACGCAACACACACACACGCAAAAAAAAACACACCACTACCACACACACCTCACAACCCACACACAAACGCACACACGCCACCAACGCACACGACGCAAACACTCACGCACACACACACACACGCACACACGCCACACACGCACACACACAAACGCACACACTCACACACACACACGCACACACACACACCCAACCACTCAACACGCACACACGCACACACGCACACACACACCCACATGCACGCACACTCGCACACACGCACACACAACACCACACACACACACACGCCGACACGCACACACACACCCACACACCACACACAACACACACACACACAACAACACACACACACACCACACACTCACGCACACACACACACACACACAAAACACGCACACACACACCCACCACCACATACGCCGACATAGACGCACACACGCACACACGCACACATACCACACACACACACACAACGCACACGACACACAGGGCCGCGCACGCACGCCGAACGCACGCGCACACGCACACGCACACGCACACAACGCACACACGCACACACGCACACACGCACACACGCACACACGCACACACGCACACACGCACACACGCACACACGCACACACGCACACACGCACACACGCACACACGCACACACGCACACACGCACACACGCACACACGCACACACGCACACACGCACACACGCACACACGCACACACGCACACACGCACACACGCACACACGCACACACGCACACACGCACACACGCACACACGCACACACGCACACACGCACACACGCACACACGCACACACGCACACACGCACACACGCACACACGCACACACACACACACACACGCACACGCACACACGCACACACGCACACACGCACACACACACACACACACACACACACACACGCGCGCGCGCGCGCACGCGCGCAAGCCTACAGAACACGCGCGTCACGCTCTCTTCACGGCGCGAGCGGGTCCGGGACCTGCCTGCCGTCCCGGGGCTCGTCTGCTCAGGAGGGGAAAGAAACACACAGGCACAGTTGAATCCTCGATTCCCAGGAACATGTGGGAGAACGTGGGAGCTGGGGGGGGGAAGACACAACCCCAGGAAAAATATGGGAAGAGGTAAGGAATCCTGTTGCCTGTCGATTTGTCTGTGTCCAATTGTTTGTGTCTATTTGTTTGTGTGTCTGTTGTTTGCGTCTCTTTGTCTGTGTCCCAGGGCCCCTTCGCCGGCCCGCGCGCCGCCCCTCCCTCGCCGAGCTCGCGCAGGGGGGGGCGGGCGCCGCCTGCTGCCCATGAGCACGTGCGACAGCGAGGAGCGCAGGGAGTGCTCGCCCGACGCCGCTCGCCTGGTCGCACGGGAGGGCCGAGGGCGAGTGGAGAGAGAGAGAGAGGGAGACGGAGTAGAGGATCAAAATCGACATAAGTTTTAACTCACGATATATACAGAAGTAACTGACACTGTTTAGTAGATCGAATACGGGAGAGGATCGATGGCATAATTCAGTAGATGGCAAAATTAGTAGAGTCAGCCCGTAGAGCAAGGATGCGCGATAAGGATGCACCGCCCTTGGACGCCCAGTTCGAAGCGTTTCGAGCGGTCGCGAGAGGACCGAGGGAGGGTGGAGAGAGAGAGAGAGGGAGAGACGGAGTAGAGTCAACCCGTAGAGTAAGGATGCGCGGTAAGGATGCAAGGCCCTTGGACGCCCATTTCGAAGCGTTTCGAGCGGGGCGCGGCCAGCGAAAGTAGCCGAGGATGCACCGAGGAGGCAAGGATGCAAGGGTACCCTTGGGAAGATTGCCCGTCCTTTCAATGCGGGTTGATTGTAGGGGATAGACTACAGAATCGATGTACCCCAGAGTTGGCATTCCTTTCGAGCCTTCACAACATACTCAGAGTGTTCGTCGGACTAGGGGCATCCAGCGTATTGTTCATGGCTTCGGCGAGAACATCCATTTTGGGGTTAATGAATTCTGTAGTCGATCCCCTACTCGAAGAGAGAGGAGTGAGAGAGAAGAGAGAGAGAGAGAGAGAGAGAAAGGCTCGAGGAAAAGTGGAGAGTGGAACGAAAGAGGGGGAGACCAAATCTGCTGGCCTTCGGCTACCCATCAATCGGAAGAAGTAGGCAGAGACATGGAGCGGGAAGGCGTTGAACGTAGATTGGGCGTCCGCCCGCTCCCTCAGGAGGGCCGAGAGGGTGAAGCCGCTCGATCATGGAAGTAGGAAGGCGCCTAAAGTAGCTTGGAATAATTACTCCAGATTTCGTAATAAAAGAGAGGGGGTCTCAACCCTCCCAGACGAGAAGTTTTAGACCCCCCCCCTGGGAGAACCCTCCAAAACATCGTCCCCAGACCCCCCCAGGCCCTCCAAGATAGCCTGGAAGAGACCCCCCCCGAAATGAGACCCCCTCCCTTTTATTACGAAATCTGGAGTACATGAACACGGCCCCTTGACCCGCGAGACCTGCCGCGCGACACGAACAGTCGCGCGGTGCGAACTCTCGAAACCGGCGTGGATTCATGCACGTGTACGTCCTTCTCTCGCTCCTGAGCCAGGGGGAACCGCGGGAGGCACGCCGGGCACCGAGGAACCGCCGAGACTCCGCGGCGAGGGAGGCAGGACGCCGCCCGGAGGCGTCACGCCGCCGGTTTGCGGTCGAGGCGAAGGGCTGGCGCCGAGAGTGAGACCCTGCCCTTCCCACCCATCGGCTCCCACGGCGTCGAAACCCATTGTGCTCGGCGAGTATACAGTCGAGGCGTTGACCTAAGGAACCCTAAATAAGGAACGAGGCCCCTTTTCTTCCATAAGTGAAACTTCGATGTCCCATCGAAAACCTCAGGAACACCCGAGGCAACCTGCGAAACAACTAAGGAACACCGAGCCCCTCCCCAACGAAAAGGGTTCCATCTTCAGGGCCCCGACTGTAATGCCCTATCGAGCCCTGATTCCGAGATGGCACCCGCTGGCCATCGCTCGGACGTCCATGTCCTGTGTTTTGTTCGGTGTCGTGCGTGGCTTGTTCGCCAAAGGATCCAGGATGCTCCTCGATGGTCCTCGCCGAAAAAGATGCACACGTCCGAGCGATGCCAGGCCCGTAGGTGAATGGCCTGGCACAGATGGGCGAAGGTTCCGCACGCGGCGGGGAAGTCGAAGCGGCCAGACTGTGCTGGATGGGCCCTGGAAACATCGATGCGAAAGGGGGAAAAAAGGTAGGCTCGCTCAAAATCGGCCCCAAGACCTGGGGAGGGATAGCCCATCGGATTACGCTCAAAATGCGGACTGCCGCACCTCGGTTGAGCTCAGCACGTGATCAACTCGAGATGCACTGAGCCTGGGATGCCCGGCAAACGTGTTTCCGACTCGGGCCCAAGAAGACGATTCACAACAAGGGCTCCCAACTTCGCGCTTCGCGCTGCGCGAAGCGCGAAGTGCAAATAACTTCGCGCTCTCGCGCCGCCTCCCAGGGGAGAAGAGGAGGATGAGGAGGAATCGGAGCCGAATCACGAAGCGCGAAGCGCGAATAACTTCGCGCCCTCGAGGGCGCCCTTGTTCACAAGCATGCAGAGTCAAAGCTGCCCTCCAGGGGCCTCATGACGACCTCACCGTTGTCGTCAGAGTCGCTGTCGGACCTGGTCTCGCGAGGGCAGGCGGGAAGGGGGGAGGAGAAAGAGGAGGAGATGGAGAAATGGGACTAGGACATGTACACGTCGGTCGGAATAAGTAGGTAGAACCATGAAGTAGGAAGGCGGATATAGTAGATTGGGTCCAGGTCCTCCCAGAAAATAACAGAACACAGCAGAAGCATGCCGATTCTTCTTGAAGTAGGAAGGCGCTTGCAGCAGATTGGGATCTGGGAATACAGAAATACCTGCTTTCAGCGACCTGCGTGTGCTGGGGAAGCATCAGGTGAACAAGGAACGCACAGGGAGTCTCGCGCGAGAGAAGGCACGGCGACATCTACGCAGTGGCGTGCGCGGGCGGGCAGGCGCGGCACACCGATCGGAGAAGAGGATGCTCACGCGCGACTTCACGTGGATAGCTTCCACGCGAATGACCGCGCAATCGACCCCATTCTCATCCGCTGCTCAAATAGACTCAAACTGGCCATCGCTCGGACGTCCATTTCCTGTGTTTTTTCGGTTTCGTGCGTGGTTGTTTCGCCAAATAATCAAGGATGCTTCTCGATGATCCTCGCCGAAGGAAAAATGCACACGTCCGAGCGATGCCAAGCAAATGTCATCAGCTTATGTTGCTCCCATCGAACTTAAGGACCACACAGTGTCGGACGAGTGTCTCCCAGGGCCCGACACGTGAAAACCTTCGAGTTTGGGGGCACTGTTCCTGGTGTTCGGATATCTTTCTGGCGGTCACGGCTAGAGTAGGTTGGAACATCACAGTCATCAGCATAGATGTTCGGAGCTTCGCACGGCATTCTTGGATCGGCGCTGTACCCCTGCACCTGGCGAGCGGAGCGTGCCGGGGGAGGCGCCAGCGGCGACGCCATAGGTGCCCAGCGCCGATCCAAAAAAATCTGTGCAGAGCTCCGAAAGCTTGTCCTCACGCCGTGCATCACCTTACGAGGAGGAGGAGGAGGAGAAGGAGGAGGAGGAGGAATGGGAAGAGGAAGAGGAGGAGGAGGAGGAGGAGAAGGAGGAGGAGGAGGAGGGAAAGGAGGAGGAGGAGGAGGAGGAATGGGAATGGCCATGGTAAATTCGCGAAGCGAAAAGGAGGAGGAAGAGGAGGAGGAAGAGGAGGAGGAAGAGGAGGGGGAGGAGGAGGACAACGACGACGACACCGGGACACACAACAGGAGGAATGAGGAAGAGAAAGGAAACTAAACAACTTCAACGGGGGCGCTGGCGTTTCCCGACGGCCACACGAGCGCAGGAAGATGCTCAAGCGGCGTCGGCCCGCCCTCTCGTGAAGAGGCGCGCCAGCAAAAGCAGCACCCTGGAGGACCATGGCAAACCCAACCCCTCTGCTCCTCTCTTCCTCCTGCCCACCCCTCTCCCCCTGCCTCTCCTCCTCCCCCTTTCCCTCCTCATCCTCCTCCGCCATCCCCAATATCATCCCCATCGTCATCCTCATCACGATCACCTTCCCACTCCGCCTAGTCAGTGGGCGCATAGGTGCGAAAGCGGTCAAACGCTTGTCGGGCTACATGCGGGTCGCGCTGGCAACATACAAACGCGCACACACACACACACACACACCATGGAAGAGCAAGAGAAGAGAAACGGCGACAGGGCGGGAGCCGCTCGGAACTCAGGCGCGAAACACACCCGCACACACTTTTTGGGGCGGCGCGGTCCCGCGCGCAGCGACGCGGCGCAATAGAAGGTCAGAAAGACGGTCGCGCACGCTCGTCTAGACGGCCGAGCCCTCAAGACCTGCAGAAACGTCCTGCCGAGTTCGCGCCTGCGTCCGGCAAAACGCGGGCATTCCGCCCAGAATGCCGAGCCGACGCCGAGTGTGGCCGCACCCAAATGGGCAGATACACGCGACGCCAGGAGCAGCCGGGCCCCACACACGCACACACACACACACACACACACGCACACACTCTGCCCACCAGGGGCAGCGCGACGCTGTAGTGTAACATCGCGACGACCCGGCCGCTGGCGGCGAGCCCCGGCCAAAGCCTCTGTCCAGCTGCCGCCGCCCACGCGGCGCGCAACCGTGCGGCCGCCCGCCGAGCGCGGGGGCGGGAGCAAAGGCGAGCAGTGGCCCCGCGCAGGGCCGCGCTCCAATCCTCCTCCTGCTGACTGCCTACCAGACCACCCCAACCCAACCCGAAGACCCGAATCTCGGGTTGGGGGGGGTATGGGCTCCAGGTGTGTTTCTTCGGTGTTCCCGGACCTTCCCCCCCAACTGGGAATGGAGGGCAAAACGGGGCCTTCGGGTTGGGTTGGGGTGGTTTGGTGGGCGGTGAGTGCAGGGCAGCGCTGGACTCCTCTTCCTGCTCCTTCGCCTCCTCCCGCTCGCCGCAGTGGCTGACCGCGGTTGGTGCCGCCCGAGTTTCAGCCACCACTCTGTTGTTCTCTGGCCCTTTCGCCCGCTCCCTGTTTGTCTCTGCCGCTCCGGCTCCGTCTCTCGGCTTTTAGGGCCGCTGCTGCCTTCGTCCGCCCAACCTGGCTTGCCAGTGGCGTTATCCGTGCTGGCGCTTTGCATCGTTGTGCGCCGCCTGGTTGTTCGACCCCTGGCTGCCACTGCGCCCAACCGGGCAGCACTATTGGAAGGGGCTCGCTGTACACACCACGTCGTTGTGTCGACCGTGGAACCAAGGAGCTCGGCGGAGGAGCTCGGCGCATAGACTCTCCAGCGCCCCACGGGCTGGAAAGCTGGAGAATCTAACATACCGACCTCCTCAGCCGCCGCGCCGCTCCGCTGGCTCGACTCTTCAGCGCGCGCGTGTGTGCAAGTGTGTGCGTGCGCGTGCGCGTGCGTGTGCGTGTGCGCGTGCGCGTGCGCGTGCGCGTGCGTGTGCGTCTGCGTGCGCGTGAGCGTGTGCGCATGCGCGTGCGCGCGTGCGCGTGCGTGTACGTGTGCGTGTGCGCGTGAGATTACGTGAGCGTGCGCGTGTGCGCGTGCGTGTGCGTGCACGTGTGCGCGTGCGTGTGCGTGTGCGTGTGCGTGTGCGTGTGCGTGCGCGTGTGCGTGTACGCGTGCGTGTGCGAGTGCGTGCGCGCGCATGCGCGTGTGCATGTGCACATGCGTGCGCGTGTGCTTGTGCGTGTGCGTGTGCGAGTGCATGTGCGTGTGCGCGTGCGTGTGTGCGCGGGTGTGCGTGCGCGTGTGGATGTGCGTGTGCGCGTGTGCGCGTGTGCGCGTGTGCGCGTGTGCGCGCGTGCGCTCGTGCGCGTGTGCGCGTGCGCGTGTGCGCGTGTGCGTGCGCGTGTGCGCGTGTGCGCGTGTGCGCGTGTACGCGTGCGCGCGTGTGGGCGTGTTGGCGCGCGTGCGCGTGTGCGCGCGTGCGCGTGCGCGCGTACGCGTGTGCGCGTGTGTGCGTGTGTGCGCGTGTGCGCATGTGCGTGTGAGCGTGTGTGCGTGTGCGTTGAAGGGTTTGCGTGTGTACGTGTGCGCGTGTGCGCGTGTGTGCGTGTGCGCGTGTTTGCGTGTGCGCGTGTGTGCGTGTGTGCGTGTGGTGCGCGTGTGCGTGTGTGCGTGTGTGCGTGTGCGTGTGTACGTGTGTGTGTGCGTGTTTGCGTGCGTGCGTGTGTGCGTGTGTGCGTGTGTGCGTGTGGTGTGCGTGTGCATGTGTGCATGTGTGCGTGTGTGCGTGTGTGCGTGTGTGCGTGTGGGCGTGTGAGCGTGTGCGCGTGTGCGCGTGTGTGCGTGCGGGAGGGCGGGCGTGTGGGCGTGTGGGCGCGTGGGCGTGTGGGCGTGTGGGCTTGTGGGCTTATGGGCGTGTGGGCGTGTGGGCGTGTGGGCGCGTTAGCGTTTGGGTCTGTGTGTGTAGGTGTGTGGGCTTGTGTGGGCGTGTGTGTGTGTGTGTGTGCGCCCGTGCGTGTGTGTGTATGGTGTGTGCGTATGTCACAACGTCGAGGAGGCTTGTCCTGCCGCATGAGAGGCAACACGACCGTAGCCTGGCCCGAATCAGAGGGGCTCGAAGAAGAAGCCCGCCGACGGCGACCCCCGTGAGCGCCGCCTCCGCTTGTTCCCCCTGTGGAGCTCTCTGCCCGAGGCAGGCCCGCAGGCCTCTCGCCGTCGGGCAAGCCGCGTGCTCCCACGCCTCACGCCGACTTGGCCGCCAGGCCTGACGCCGACTAGACGGCCCGCCGCTGCTGCCCAGCGTCTGCAGGGAGGCGAGCGGGAGCCTGAAATGCTCCTCCCGTGCGCTCCAGGCTGCTCGCGACGATGCCCTCCCCCGCGTCGCAAGCAAGAGGCTTTCGCCGCAGCTCCTTCCAAGGGGCCCTCGCAGACCCTCGCCGCCCGCGGCCTAAAACAGCGCTAGGATCGGGATAAATCGCCCCAGAGCGTTCCAGAGCGCTCTCAGAGCGTTCTGGGTCGCTCTGGAGCGGCCGCGGCGCCCAATACATCCTCCAAACCCGCCGATTCTCAGAGATTTCGACTTATCCCGATCCGATTTTGTCCCGATCTTCGCGTCGTTTTAGCAAGGCCACCGCCCGCCGCAACGGAGGCAGCTCCTGGGCCGGCCCCGTCCCACTCGGCCGCCACGCCGGCGCCCCCGCCGCCCGGCTCCTCCGACAACCCCCGGCCGGACCGAGCGAGCCCCAGGACGAGGCTGCGCGCGGCGCCGCCGCTCTGGCCGGGCGGGCCGGCTCCCGCGGCTGGGACTCCGCGGGGGGGAGGCGCTCCTCCTCCTCCTCCTCCTCCTCCTCCTCCTCCTCCTCCTCCTCCTCCTCCTCCTCCCACCCCCTCAGAGATCGTGGCGCCTCCTCCCCCGCGTGCAGGCGCCGCGCCCGCGCCGCCGGCTCAGAGGGGCGCGGCGCCTGCGCGCGGGGGAGGAGGCGCCTGTCTGGGCGGCAGCGCAGCGCCGCCGCCGCGGCGCGCCGCGGGCCCTCGGCCGCTCGCGGAGGCGCGCTCCCGAGAGGGCGAGGCCTGCGGCCAGGCCCGAGGCGGCGTGGGTGGCGAGGAGGGCGCCGCGCGCCGCCTCCTCCGGGGTCACGCCTCGGCTGCAGTCGGACTTGGTTGGAGAGGACGCGCGAGAGGACACAAGACCCCTCCGAGGGCCACGTTGCCACAGAAATGCAGGAGGCATGGGTCGCAAGACAAGGACACGAGGGCACCCTTGATCCGGGAGCGGCCAAGAGGGGGGGTGTCCGAGAGGGGGGGGTGCGAATCATGACCGGCGGCATGTGCGCGGCCCAGCGGGGGGGCCAGGGACGCAATGAAACAAGAAGAGGCGCCATGACATCTGGGGGATATCATGGCCCCCACCATGATATCCACCCCCCCTAGTCATCACCCCCCTCTGTGCCGCCCGCGACCAAAGGCAGCCCAAGGGGCGCCAGAATGCCCAAGAGGGTCCCGAGACGGCCCCCAACTGGGCCGTAGAGGGTGAACGCGAAACGACAATTCGAGCGCTCCGCCCCAGGAGCGCCCAGGGGTCCCCCAGGAGAACCAAAAAATAGGCCCCCAAAGAGCCCCGAGGGGGCCCCCTCTTTGCCGCCCCCGCTTGATCTGGCAGGGTCGACCTGCTGATCCGGGCCGCCGGCACACGCGGGAGCGGCCCCGGGCAGGAGTGCCCTCCGGTGCGCGGCCCTCCGAGGGGGCGCGGCGGGGGCCAGGCGCGCAGGCGCGCAGGACGCCACAGCCGCATCGCGTTCGGCGATCAGGGGGCCTCGACGTGCCCGCACCACCTCCTCCTCCTCCTCCTCCTCCTCCTCCTCCTCCTCCTCCTCGTCCTCCACCTCCTGCTCCTCCTCCTCCTCCTCCTCCTCCTCCTCCTCCTCCTCCTCTCCTCCTCCTCCTCCTCCTCCTACCTCCTCCTACACCTCCTCCTCACCCTCCTCCTACCCTCCTCCTAATCCTCCTACCTCATCCTCCTATCCTCCTCCTCCTCCTCCTCCTCCTCCTGACACTCCTCCTCCTCCTCCTCCTCCTCCTCCTGATCCTCCTCCTCCTCGTCCTCCCCCTACACCTCCTCCTACACCTCCTCCTCCTCCTACATCTCCTCCTCCTCCTCCATATCCTCCTCCTCCTCCTTCTCATCCTCCTCCTCCGCCTCCTCCTCCTCCTCCTCCTCCTCGGACCTGCTGCTCTGGACGGAGTAGGCGTAGCCCTCGCCAACGTCCTTTAGTCTCCTTCCCCCCCCAAGCGCTGCAGGAAGCGGGGGAAGGAAGAAGTGGGTGCGCAAGGCGATGGGACCAGCTGGCGAGGACGAGGATGAGGGAGACGACGGAAGGTAAACAGAGGAGAGAGAAGAGAAAGAGAGAGAGAGGAAGAGAGCAAGAGAGAGAGAGAGAGAACAACAAAAAAAGGAAAGAGAGAGAGAGAGCAAGAGAGAGAGAGAGCGAAATACTTTAATGAATAGATAAAGAGCCACGTCAGAAAAAAAGAGGCATCAGAGCATCTGGATGACGACGAAAGGAGGGTGCAGGATAGCATAAAACATCATGTAAAGGACGAGCACGAATAGCACGAAGGAAACGGTAATATGATGAGGGCATCGAAGACAAGGACAACAAACAAAAAGGCAGGAAGACGAGAAGGCGGATGCACAGGACCAGATGAGGAATTAAGAGAAAGACGACGGGGAGGAGACGAGGGAAAAGAGGGCGAAGAGAGTGAGCCAGCGACAGGAAGGTGAGAGACGGAACGGGGCACGATACGGCATGGGCACTGGCAGATCTGACGGCGCTGGCGGCACCGAGATCGCTGACACGTCCCCACCAACCTTCGGTGCGGCGGTGAACCCGCGTCGTTCTCCACCCGTGCTGCTGCACCTGCCACTTGCGAAAAAAAGAGGCTCCACGCCGAGATGTCTGACGATATCCGTGGAGCTGGCGCGAGCGGCATCCGACCCACGGATCGGGGAGAGCGACCCCCCCCCCCGACACACTGCGACCATACCGCCCGATCTGGCGGTGGAACGTGCTCATTCTGCACGAGCCGTAATCAACCCAACCTATTCTGGCCATCGCTCGGACGTCCATTCCCTGTGTATTGTTCGGTTTCGTGCGTATTTGTTTCGCCAAATGGTCAAGGATGCTCCTCGATGGTCCTGACCCAAGGAAAAATGCACACGTCCGAGCGATGCCAAGTATTGCCATCCTCCGTCCTTGCCCCTTCCTCGGGCGACTCCCATCTCGCAAACTTTTCACCCCCCCGCACGTGTGTCCTGCCTTCTTTTTAAGCCCAAATGGTTCCATCCTGCGTCCTTCCCCCTCCCGATGACCGCCGTCTCTCCTCCCCCCACCACGTCCCTGCAGCCATCGCGATGCCAGACAGGACGTTGAATAAGAAACGAGAGGGCTTGACCACAATGAGCCTCGGTCATGAACAGGCTCCCCGACTTAGGCATCATTCGGCGGTGGACAAGCCTCCCTTCAATACACCTCCCCTTGATGAAAACGGCCTGGGCCCGACACCGACGGACCTGGACCCGCAAACATGGCGGCCGCGACGCCCTCTCGCGAACCGAAAACGGCCAATTCCTGAATCGTCGTGTCAAGGTGCGAGGTCCATCCACCTCCGAATAATGACTGCTCGGAAACCATACAGTCAACCCGCAGAGTAAGGATGCGCGACAAGGATGCAAGGGCCTTGGACGCCCACTTCGAAGCTCTTCGAGCGGAGCGCGGCCAACGAGAGTGTCCAAGGATGGACCCAGGAAGCAAGGATGCAAGGGCACCCTTGGCAGGGCTGCCTATCCTTACTCTGCGGGTCGACTGTAGGCCATCCTGGACCCGAGGTGGTCCTGCTCCAGCGTCGTGGCCGTGCGGCGCTTCGCCCGACAGGTCCCCACTGCGCGGGCGCGAGCGGGCCCGTGCCGTGCCCCTGGCGGGCTCCTTCGCGGATGATGTATGCCTGCCGCATCGCGGCGACCACGGGCCCACTGTGAGGAGAGGCTCGTCGGTTGAACCACTCTACAGTGCGGGCGCGGCCGCAACAAACCCTCGCGAGAAGCCCAGCCCTGAAAACCCGCGCGCAGGCGCGGTGCAAACTGAAAGGAAGCCTCGAGCACCCGGAGCGCAGCAGCTGCTTCGACGGCCGCGGGAGGTCACCGCGCAGCGCGCGGAGCGAAGAAGCCAGGGGTCCCAAGACGAGATGCAAATGGTTTCTTGATGCGGTAGGCGCGAACGGGCCCGCGCAGTCGGGTCCGCTGACGGCTCCCCATGTGGGAACCCCCGAACTGCGGTGGCTGCTACGTCGCGGAGCTGTGCGGAGAGTGAGCCTGACTATGAGCGACGCTGGGCATGGCACACCTTAGTACCGTATGAGGGCGCTTGGCTATTGGTGCGACTCTGCGTGAGCGAGTAGGAGCATGGGTGCTGCGGGCCGAAGTTGACCTGGGTGATGTTTTGGCCACTACGCCGCTCTCTGTCCACTGTGCCGCACGCCCACGGGCGTCGTGAAGACAGCGGGGAAAAGGGTAAGGCACCTACAGCATGAAAGACACTCCACATCGGCAGCCGCACTCCGATTGGGAGACCTCCAGCAAGGTCACGCACGACAGCAGTACTGTTGCTGGCACTCGGCCTGTGGGTCTGGCGGCTTGGTCGAAGAGGAGCTCAGTTGCTCCTGCGAGAACCTGAGCAGCGCACAACGAGGAAGCGAAGGCGTACGTTGCTGAGGACGATGACGCCCCTTCCGCTTCGATGAGCCAGAGGAGTGCTCGCCCAGACCGCCAGATGCCGAGCACGGCGAGGCGGCGATCACGCAGCCATGCGACCGCACGGGAAACAGCGCGTCGGCCAGGCGCACCACCTCGACCACGACATGAATGAAGGGGCACAAGGACACACAAATAAATACACACACATAAAACTATTCCCCATATTTTCCCATATCTTCTGTGTTTCTGTCTTCCCCCCCACTTCCCATGTTTTCCCATATTTTCTGAGGAATCGAGGATTAATTGTGTCTGTGTGTTTCTTTCCCTCCTGAATGAACCACGGAGTCCTCATCGTCCCCCTCCTCTGGGCAGCCACTCCCAGGTACAAGGGGCGGCCCGCACGCGGCGGCGGAGCCCCCGCGACCAGCCTCCTCCAGCACCGAAGGCGACGCGTGCACCACGGGGTCCGCGGAGACGTCGGGCAGCAGCGCCGGGGGGGCGCAAACATCCCACAGCCCAGGCCACTCGCCATCGCTCGGACGTCCATTTCCCGTGCATTTGTCGGTTTCGTGCGTGTTTTTTTTTGCTCGGGGGTCCAGGATCGCCCTTTGTGGTTCTCGCCGAGAAAAAATGCACACGTCCGAGCGATGCCAGGGGCCAGCGGCCCGAGGCCGTGGCCCAGCCACCGTCGAGTCGGTGCATGAGCTCCGCGTCGTCGCCGTCCCCGCCGCGGACGGCGCGGGGCGCGGACGCCGCGGCGTCCGCTGCGGGGCCGGCGGTCCCGCGGTCCGCCGCCTCCCTCCGTGGGGGTTCCTGGCCCTGCGGATCAACGGCACACGCTCCCCCCCTTCTGCCTGCGCACCCTCTGCGCCGCCGTCCGATCGGCAAGTTTGGGCTGGGGGCACGCCCACTGGCCATCGCTCGGACGTCCATTTCCTATGTTTTTTTTTCGGTTTCGTGCGTGGCTTTTTTGCCAAATGATCATGGATGCTCCTTGATGGTCCTTGCCGAAGGAAAAATGCACACGTCCGAGCGATGCCAAGCCCACAGCAACGCCTGCGCGGCCAAGGCGAGGGCCTTGCGCGGCGCCGCGGAGGTCAGCAGCAGCGGCTGTGCTGAGCGGATGCGGCACCCTCCTGGCACGCAATCCCCGCATTCCGCCTCGGCAGCTCCACAGGAGGAACGTCCTCCTGGCTCTTGCGCAGCTGGCGCGCCAGCACAGGAACCACGGCCATGGGCCTGTCGACAAGCTCGGGGTCCCCGCAGATGTGGCCGATGGACTCGCAGCGAGACTTTTAGAATTCAACTTGGCTTAGGTCGGGCATGTCCCCCTATACGCGGATTTTCGACGAAACATGAAAACAATGTCAAACCATACTCAAACATAGCCGAACACCATTCCAACAATCGTCCAAAAACTATGTTGTTGACTATGTTTGAATACCCCCACTGTAGAGGGGCATGCCCGACTTAAACTTGGCGACAGGGATCGTGGACGTGAGCTTCGCGAAAGGACGGGGCCCACCTCTGGGCCTCCCTCCGGGGAGCGGGCGACTTCCACGGCACTCGAGCACCAGCCGCCGGCATGGCGTCGATGTGTGAGAAAGCGCCCACGGCGAATACGAGTATGTGAGTCTGAGTTGAGTGCGCCAGCGCGTGAGCAAGTTCGAACACGCGTGAATATCAGCATGAATGCATCCAGGTGTTTTTGTTGTGGCTAGGTTTGGTTGCGGATGAGTCTGACTAGGAGTGACGCTGACTCTTGGTTGGGTCTGGCTATGACTGGCGCTGACTGTGGGCTGGTCTGGGTGTGTTAAACGTGCATGGTCTAGACATGACTGTTTCCAAATCTGCGTGAGTGCAGCTCTATATTCTGTCTGGTGGGCAAGGTGATGGCGTGATTGTCTGCGATCATGAAGCTCGCCTCGGATCTACGCGATAGGATACCTATTGGCAGTGGTGAAAGACTTCAACATCGAGGGGACCCTGAAGCAGCATGTTATGAAGACGTTCGCGGACTTCCACAACTACAACTGCGAACAGAAGTCCGAACTGGTGCTATTTTGTCGACCGCATGTACGAGAAGGAGAAGAAGCGTCGCACGACAGCGGTGCGGAACCCTCATTTAAGGAGCTACCTGACGGCGGCGCTCAAAACAACTCAGGCCAAGCAGAATCACGAACGAGCGCCAGCCACGCACATGGAGAGGGAGTTACAAGAATGGGTGGAGCAGCTATGGCAATAGATGACAACACGGCCTGTGGTGCAAGAAACGACGGCGCTACTTGACTTGAGCGTATTTCACATACATTTGATATTTCTTCGTCGAGCGCTACTAACCCCGAGTACACGACTCCGAGTCTGACGTCATCCTCTGGAGCGGTGAGGCCTGAGTAACATGAGCCTGTCCCTCTCCGCCTCTTCCTGTCGTGTCAGGATCTGAGGGTGTGCACCCTTTTTGGGGCTGCCAGGAGTGTCTTCCCTGGGAGCCGAAGCTTTGAGACCTTTGCTTCGCGTAAAAAAGTTATAGAGCAAACTAGAACGCAGAATCGATCTCAGCGGTGATCGCTCCGCTTTGGTGATTCCCTCTCCCTCGCCATGCGTCGGACTGGGCATCGCTCGAACGTCCACTCCCCGTGTTTTTTTCGCGGTGTCGTGCGTGGCTGTTTCGCCAAATGATCAAGGATGCTCCTCGATGGTCCTCGCCGAAGGAAACATGCCACGTCCACTCCCTGTGTTTTTTTCTCGGTTTCGTGCGTGGCTGCTTCGCCAAATTATCAAGGATGCTCCTCGATGGTCCTCGCCGAATTGGGCGCCCGAGTTATCCGGGATAACTCGGGTCCGGGGTAACTTGGGTTTGGATTCCCGAAAAAGGAACCCGAGTTATCCCTGACCCGAGTTACCCCTGATGATTCGGGGCTCTGGACGCCCGAGTTATCCGGGGTAACTCGGGTCCGGGGTAACTCGGGTTTGGATTCCCGAGAAACGAACCCGAGTTATCCCTGACCCGAGTTACCCCTGATGATTCGGGACTCTAACCGAAGGAAACATGCACACGTCCGAGCGACGCCAGGCGCCACACGTCGGAGGTCCTGGGTCTCGGGCCGGGGATCCGTCGGGCCCGTCGGCTCCGAGACCACCACGCAGGGCGGGAGGCTCTCGGGCCCGCCAGGAAGCAGGGACGTCGCTCAGCTTACAGGGCAGTTTTCAACACATGGGATTGTTGTTTAACTATATATAGCATGTTTAATGCATGATTAGTTTATGAACAAATGTATGCACGAACTCATCGTTGTTTTGATTACCAAACATGATCCGCACGCGGAGCACGTATCAAAAACGGCACTGTAGAGGTGGGATATTCGAGCTGGAACTTGTTGTGCCTAGCTATGCGAACTCTGACTGGCGTCGGCGCCAGTGCTGCGAGGGAAGAAATGAATGAAATCTGTGTGAGCCAAGGTGTACGTTTGAGCCGGCGTGAGTCGGAGCATGGGGGGCAGGAGGAAGCAGGCGGGAGGTGACGAAGACGAGAATCGGCGGTGGACAAACCTCCCTTTAGTAAACCTCCCCTTAGTGAAAGCGGCCGACCGAAACCGACGGACCTGGACCCGCAAAAATGACGGCCGCGACGCCCCCTCGCGAACCGAAAACGGCCAATTCGCTAATCGACGTGTCAGGGTAGGATGTCTATCCAACCCCGAGAGAATGAGGAGGCAGAGGGAAACCACGAGCAGCGAAAACACCAGACTTGGGATATGAAGAAGAACTCGAATCTTGGAGGCAAACGCCTCCCCATCTGGGGACGACATAGATCGGATGGGGTCGGCGGGCCGCGAAGCATCAGCGATGCATCGGCGACGCGGGCGATGCAACAACAACGTCGGCGTGGAGAACATCGGGCTCCACATCGGGCCGCATCGCTGATGCATCGGCGATGCGGCGCGATCCATCAAAGCCATTTGCTTTGAACCCAAGTGGGCGGCCTGAGCCATCCCCAGAAAGAAGCTCCCACCAGCCCAGCGTGAAGCGCCGGAGGAGTTGCTCAGTTGGCGAGAGGGGGAGCCCAGCCCAGGTCCCGCCCGTTTCTGAGCGCGTCCCCGGTGGTCGGCATGATCACCTTCGTAGGGGTCACGAAGTCTGGAAGGGGTGTGGTTCGCCTACTCTTACTTCGATTTTCCCTGTATATGTATTTATATATATAGAGAGAGAGGCACACCCATGTGTCTATATGTATGCATCTATGAATAATTACCCCAGTGCGCCCCTACCTAGAAGTTGGAGCCCCTAGGAAAGCAGCATTAGTTGCTATGCTATGCTATGATATGCTGTGCCATGCTATGCTGCACTATGCTATGCTAGGCTATGATATGCTAAGCTATGGTATGGCATGCTATGCTATGCTAAGCTATGCTATGATAAGCTATGTTATGCCATGCTGCGCTGTGCTATGCTGCGCTCTGCTATGCTATGCTATGATATGCTATGTTATGCTATGCTAAGCTGCGCTGTGCTATGCTATGCTACGTTATGCTATGATATGCTGCGCTATGATATGGTATGATATGATATGCTTGGCTATGGTATGCTATGCTATGGTAATGCAGCGCTGAGCTATGCTAAGCTAAGCTAAGCTAAGCTCGTTGCCTGTCCTTTGCTTCGTTTATGTTTTTGCGTTGATGTGCTTTGCGTTGCTTGTGATGTGCTTTGCTGTCGCTGCTGTTGCTTTGCCTTTGCTTTGCTGCTGTGCTGTGCTATGCTCTGCTATGCCATGCTATGCTATGCTGCGTTGTGTTATGCTGTGCTGTGCTGTGCTGCGCTATGCTAGGCTATGTTATGATGCGCTATGCTATGCGATGCTGGGCTATGCTATGATATGCTGTGCTGCGCTATGCTATGCTACGCTATGCTATGCTACGCTATGCATACTGTGCTCTGCTATGCTACAGCTCAGCGAAGCTAAGACGGAGGTAAGCTAAGCTAAGGTACACCTGAACTAAGAGGAAGCTAAGCTAAGCTAAGATGAAATAAGCGGAGCTAAGATGATATAAGCAACGCTAAGCTAAGGAAGCGTAACTGGGGGAACCGCAGGGCGGATGCCGGGGGAACCGCCCGAGGCGGAGCCCACTGCCCGAAGCTCAGAGAGTAAGAACCCTTCTAGGCAGAGCATAGGTAGGGAACAACATGCATGTATGTATACACAGATGTGTGCACATGCGTATGAGCAAGTATGTACACGTGGCCATGGATGTAGAAGGTATATATATATGAACATATACATATATATATAAAAATATATGTATATATATATGTATATACACACACACACTCACGATGTAAAATCATCGCATTCGCATAGCACTCAAGCCAAAGTTCGACCTGTCTTGGAGTCAAGCATTAGGCGAGCAGAGGGACAGTGCCCGAATGAAGAGAAACTGCGGGTTTGGAAGCCAACGCGAACGTCGCAGAAGACGCGAATGGATGCTCGGGTTAGGGCGATGGGCGCACAAGGACACATAATTGGACATGCGTGTACGAAGTGATTGAACCCCCCCCGCTGAAGTCCCCCCGTCCCAAACAGAGCCCCCGGACGGCCCCAGAGGGCCGTCTTGGGGCTCTTTCGGGGGGCAGAAAGGGTCTTGGGAAGTCATGGGGGCCAGTGCATGATCTTGATGGTGTCTGGGATTTCTGTCGGCCTCCGAGGCTTCTTGGGGAAACATTGTTTTTTTCTGGATGTGTCGAGGGCCTCGCCGGCCGTCCTGAGGGAGAAAATTCTCCCTCCCGTTTGGCCCTGATTGGATCCTCTCGACGTATTTTGGAAATCTGCTGGGCAGAACGATGGTCGAGGGTTGCTTTTGTTCCCCTCGCCCGAACCCTCTTCCGCCATCTCCGTTCCCCCCCATCGACCCGCTCCTCTGCCCCTCCCCATCCACCCGTGGATTCATCGTTCCTCCCACCTCCCCCTTTCCCCCCGCCCCGACCATCCTTTCCTGCCAGATCCTCCTCCCCTTCCCTCCCCCCTTACCTCCCCCGCGCATGCTCCCATACATCGTACGGTTTCCTCCTCCTCCTCCTCCTCCTCCTCCTCCTCCTCCTCTTTGTCCTCCTCCTTCTGTTGGTCCTTCTCCAACACCTCGTCCTCGTCCTCGTCCTCGTCCTCGTCCTCCTCCTCCTCCTCCTCGTCCTCCTCCTCGTCCTCCTCCTCCTCCTCCTCCTCCTCCTCCCCCTCCTCCTCCTCATCATCATCATCATCATCAGCATCATCATCATCATCATTCCCCCTCCTCCTTCGCCCCCACCCCCTCTCTTCCCACGCCTTCTCATTATACTCCTCCTCCTCCTCCTCATCGTTGTGTTTCTCCTCCTCTTGAAAATCTGATAGAACAGTTCTACCATGTAAGCAAATTGAACCTGAGTCGAGAAGCCGTGCCACACAATTTTGCCTAACACTTTCGGCGCCAGACAGCTCCGCGAAGTTAGTTTGCTCACCCGGTCGGAGTGCTATACTATAACACCCACTCGGCTGGTAAGCCGAGTGTGGAAACACGTGAAATAAAACATAATGTATATAAACAAGCAGGCGACGCAACGAAGCCAGGAATCCGCCCTCGCAAATCAAGTCATACAACGACGCCTTTAAAAATCATAGCTGGTGCAATCATAAGGCGGCGACGTTTTGAATGTGCACGCGATACGCGATTTAACTGACGGATCGTGTAATATTACCGCAGGTCTAAGACCACATAGACGATCATTTAGGGCCATGAGCCTGGGCTCAACTCCACGGCACAGCGGCTCGCGATGGCAACCCGGGCACGGATTGAACTAGCACCCCGTAGCAGGCACCAGCTCGTGTCTTACGTTAGCAATGTGTTGGCTGGAACCGCGCATCTGCATGGACAGGGAGTCCTCGCTCACATACTTAGTCCGGGCATCTGCCAGATTCCCACAAGTTCCCACTAAGATCACTTTGATGGATCCTCGTCCCGCCATCTCTTGTAATCAAGGCTGGCAGACTTCGACTTCGATGCGTCTGATGTTGCCCAACCCGCGCATGATCGCAATGGCAAAAGCTGCACTCGCATCGCCGTCTAACGAAGTGCCACAATCAACATCAAAATCCTTGAACGCCGCTTGCAGTCCTGACGCTACGGAGGCACCTGCAAACATTTCGCAAACCACGCTTGCCCCACTAATTCACAAGGTGCGACCCCCACGTTACTGCACCTCCGCGCGTCAAAGTCCGCGTTGTCCTGCGACATGCATAACCGGCGTCCGTCCACACGATTGAATCCCTAGTGCTGGCTGGAGACAGAGAAGTGTGCCCATACTCACTACGGTTCTTGAAGTACTTGCCCACTGTTGTGGAAACGTTCCCATGCCCTTGGGGCCAGGGATGACATCGAACGTGACAGCCCCACGATTGAAAACTGCATATCCGAACGGTCCTGTGCTAGAAAATTTGCCCCGACCACTAAAGTTTGGCATTTCTCTTCTTCAGGCCCCCCCCCCCCCCTGGCAAAGTCGCTTTTCACTGGCCCAGGCTGAACCCTTTTACCGATATCTCTGCGAGTATCTGATCCGCCCAATGCCATGATGCACTCTGACCCCACTTCGCCCATCGACTTCATCATACTGAATGACTTCGAATATCATGCCCAGGTCGGAATCTCCCCCGGATTAACTCTACATCGCTTTCAGCTTTCATCTTCGAGCCAGGCCCGATCAACATCGTGGCCCCGAAAATGAGGTCGCACCCCATGAGCCGCCAGGCGGATTCGCTAGACTCAAGATTTAACGCGCGCGGTCGCGGCATCCCGCTGTCGAAGAGACAATGTCAGCGAGAAGACCACCGAGCAGAATCCCCAGTCGGCGGCGGAACACCTGGCGCCGCACATTACCTTCAACAGTCCCCCACTCATGCCCAGCGCCCGGTCCTCTTCTCGGCCTCGGCGTAACAAATACGCGCCCCTTATCGCCTATGAACCGAAAATTGAACCCCCCCATCGCGCCCTCCCTGGCAATGCTGGGCCCCGCGGAAACTGCCGTGGAAAACTACAGTTTCGCGCTGCTTATGGAGCGACGCCTGCAAATGCGTTCTTTCCCTTGCCCTGCTGAGCCACCAGGGCGGAGTCGGTGGGTGCCCCCGGGTAACCTCGTAGCCCTCGCCCATGTCAGCCCGCCGCGCGCCCGCGGGAACCTTGCCGGCAACGGCCCAGCATTCTGCGCCCTGTGCTTCCCCATAGACCGGCCAGACCGCCCTTCCTGAATTGCTCAATCCTCCGCCTGGCCGGGCAGCGCGAGTTCTGGGCCCAGCTCGCTTCCCGACGCGTCGCCCCAGGCCCATGCTCTAAAATCCCCGCGCTGAACTGCGCCCATGGCCTCCCTGGTAATTGGGCGCACTCCCGCAGCGCTTTCGCACGCCTCGCACGCCCCCGGGGTCCCATTCCATCCCTGCCGCTGACGCAGTGGAGAGATTCAGTGATGATGCTGAGTGTCTGGCGTAGCTTAGTAGGCGAAGCTAACGACGAAATCGAGATCCCCCCCAATGAACTTCTCTCGCCTCTCCATCCTCTCGATGTCGCTAACCCCCCTGCCCCCGACAATCTGGCCGACGTCCAGGTCGCGAGTAATCTGGCGCAGGGGCAAGCTCCAGTGGCCCCGAACTCAAGGGGGGCCGCGGGCGAGATGCGCCGCGGCCCTTTTGTGGCCCAGTTTCACGCAAACCCACGCCCACTCCCACTCCGCCCGCACATAGCATCGTCGCTGTCCACTCCCTCGCCAGGGTCACAACACGCAGCCCATGAGTCATCCGACTGAAAGGAGCAACCAAGATCGATCGCCAGCCGCGACTCGGCAAACAAATCCTTCTAGCATGGCATGGCGGCCGCCTCCATCCCACAGGAGAATGCCAACGCTGCCCGTGGAAAGTCGCGCTGAGGGCCCAGCCCATATAGGGGCGGTTGGTCAGAATGCCGGGGCCCTCTTCATCGCCCCCCCCCCCCCCCCCCCTCAGTTCAGTTTTACTGCGATTGCCAAGGTATACGAGCATGGTACTCCACCGTATGTCTGCACCCCCTCGCGCTGCGACATTCTCTGCAATGGCGTCGCGGT